ACAATGACAAAGTACTTAAGGTATATAGCACAGTAATAGTTTAAAGACAAACGACAGCCAACAAGACATAGACGCGTAAGATCGTCGGCAGCGTCAGATGTCGCTAAGAGACAGCCGCAACAACAACATATCCTCTTCCGATTTGATCCCATCGATTTGCCTCTTCCGCAAGCTATATCCTTCATCTCAGCGACGCTCTCCTCCCGACCGCAATCATCTATCACCCCATATCGAATTCTCAGATTGCAATCATGACAGAAATGGTCGGAGGACCGAGCGACGATGTCCACCAGGTCCCGCCTCCTCTTCCACCCGCTCCTATGGAGAACTACACCTTTCCTGAACATCGTCTGAAGCGCACGATGGATGACCCGGAGAAGACGCCTCTGCTCCTTGTAGCTTGCGGGTCCTTCTCCCCCATCACCTATCTGCATCTCCGCATGTTTGAAATGGCTGCCGATTACGTCAAATTCAGCACAGACTTTGAGCTGATCGGTGGATATCTCTCACCCGTCTCAGACGCGTATCGAAAGGCCGGTCTGGCCAGTGCGGAACATCGGTATGCAATTTGGGGCTAATTGATCCTCTCATTCGGATTGCTGACGATGTCTCTTATGGCTCATCAGGGTTGCGATGTGCCAACTTGCGGTTGATCAGACATCGAATTGGTTGATGGTCGATACATGGGAACCGATGCAGAAGGAGTACCAGCCGACTGCCGTTGTGCTTGATCATTTCGACCATGAGATCAACGTTGTACGCGAGGGTATCGATGCTGGAAATGGTACCCGGAAGCCCGTCCGGGTGGCCTTGCTTGCAGGTGCTGATCTCATCCATACCATGTCCACTCCCGGAGTATGGAGTGAGAAGGATCTGGACCACATTCTGGGCAAATACGGTGTATGTTCAAATATGATGGGCCTTTTACTCAGTTTGATTCCGCTCACAGTCTTTTAGTCTTTCATCGTGGAACGCAGCGGCACTGATATCGACGAGGCTTTGGCAGCTTTGCAACCCTGGAAGGACAACATCTACGTGATCCAGCAACTTATTCAAAATGATGTTAGCAGCACCAAGATTCGTCTTTTCCTGCGACGCGAGATGAGCGTGCGCTATCTCATTCCCGTCCCAGTCATTCACTACATCGAACAGCACCACCTATACGAGGATGACGGCGCAACCGCCACCTCGTCCTCAACCGATAAAGGCAAGGAACGATCGCAGCCAGGGAAATCAGGCTGAACTCTTAGGATGCCCGAAGACATATGCCGCATTTGTACTTTATCATCCCTCCAGACCTTGAGCTACACTATGGTGCCAGCGAGCGCGTGAAGCAAAGAGACTGCTTACTTAGCGGCTTGCCTGAAGCTCTCAGTCACTTTGAACGCGGATAGTGAGGGTTACTCCATCATCTGCGTGCTGGTATCTCTCATCCCTATTGCAATGGTCGCTCGCACCCCATCCTTCGTCCACTCCGCGGCGCATGATACGAAACGCCCTGAGTTCCCAAAAGCCAAACGCTCGGGAATCCCATTATCCACCTCAGCATCAATGGTCTTTGTTGACAAGAAGCGATGGCAGAACGTGGCACTACACAGGTCCCCACACGAGCCATCCATTAGCCAGTGGTTTTCACAAAACGACACTCGCTGTACCAACTGCATTCGAGACATCGGTTTCGGCATCGCACTTTGCGCAAAGAGCATGATTTAGACTTCGATTACTTGTCTTATACCCTGTTTGAATGAACATAGACGAATGTAGAGTTATTATCGAATTCGCAAACTCATTACTATGATCTACTTCCAGACCTAATCTGTATTGATGCAAAACAAGGCCTTCGCCTACATGCACCCGTTGATGAAAATACCAATCACAAGTCGACCACAATGCAAGAAATCAGTGGCGCATGCATGGCAGAAATGGCTTGCATGCGGATCTCGATGCACGTAGTACATAAAATTGAGCATGTATCCACATCCTTGATATTGGATCCTATGCACAAAACCAGAAAACAAATCTTACCGAAAAACGATTCATAAAGCGGCGTATTACAAAACTGATAAAAAAGCAAATACATAAGCTGGCATTCAGTCATTAACATCGTCTATAAGTACGGGCTTTTGCATATACAAGTCCCATTCCTTCCAGATGCGTATTCCAGAGGGAAGAAAAGTAGTATGGGGAAAATCCATTCAACCACAGTCACCCCAGACGTCCTCCGCCTCTACGACGCCCACACACTCCTCGGGATTCGCGTGGTGCATCACGGCAACCACCTTCACGCGGGAACCGCATGCAGAGTTGGCTTTCGCGACGCGACGGCGGACTTCATCGAGTGTGCTGGCGCCCGAGACACGGAGCCAGTCACCCCGGGATACGGAGAAGGGGAGACCCAGGGCAGCCAGGGCGGAAGCGCTCATGTCGATGTTACTACTCTGCGAGAGGGAGCGGATGTGGCTTGGCGGGATGATCTCCGAGGGGGAGAGGGCAACCCACGACTTGGCGTTGGGGTGCTGGATGGCTGTGAGCAGGACATCGAGGAGACGGACCTCGTCTGCTGCGGAGACGGTGGGGATCTGGTCTAGAGGTACGAGTAAGTCGGTGATGAGGGGTTGCTGACGGCTCTCCGGTCTCGGGAATGAGACGATCTCCGAGGAGGCGGTGGATCCGCTCTGAATGTAATCTGAGGAGATTGACGCGGTCGACATGCTGGAGGGTGTCAGGACGGCCCCGGCGGAGGCAGCCCCGATCGCGCCGCCGGGATGGAAACCCTTGAAGACCTCCGCGGGACCTCTACCGGGTGTATTATGTAGTCTTCGTGCTGTGGCGATCGCCAATGCGTCTCCCAACGCCAGCGCTACTGTCGTCGACGATGTCGGAGCGCAAACGCCAAACGAGGACTCTTCATCCTCGTGAATCGGAGCGGGGAGGAGGATACCCATGTCGGATGAATGGAAGGACAGGATCGGGCAGGTATCCGGATGCATATGCGACGTGATGGCAATGACGGGTACAGTCGAGGGGATATGCGGCAGCAGAAGCAGAAGCTCCGGCGTGCGACCGGAAAACGAAATCAACAAAAGGGTATCATGCTGCGAATGATATTAGCAGTCTGTAACCCTCTGGATCAAAAAATTCTCAAGAAAAGCCGCGAATATCCGTACCGGTCGAATCATCCCCAAATCGCCATGCAATGCTTCCGTCGGATGCAAAAATGCGCTGTAAATACCCATACTATTCATCGTTGCCTCCAGCTTCTGTCCGATCTTGCCGCTCTTGCCCACGCCGCAGACGACCAATTTCCCGCCATTTCGGACGGTGCGGACGATCTGACTGACGGCCCGCGCAAGGTTCTCCTGCGCTAGCCGGTCCGTCTGGTAGATCTGCTCCAGGTGGGCGAGCGCCGCACGCTCCGTGGAAATGACATGGATGGCTGTTGTTACCGCAGCGGCATCCTCGTGCATGGAGGGAAGCCCATCCACCAAATCTGGAGGAGTCATGGGCAGGAGAGAGAAGCCATCGAGGACGGAGGTGGCGGACATCGTAGGAGGCGATAACGAAGTCGGGGGCTGCCCCATGCTGTCAATGAACCATTATCGAAGGAGTGAACTGACGGGAGAGGATCTATCCAAGAAATATCCCCTAAATAGCCATTCTCAAATGAGAAGGGGATTGAAAGAGAGAATAAGTAGTAGGCTAGGGGGAGGGAATTCTCTGGTAAGAAGCGGGGGGAGGGAATGGAAAGTGGAGGAGGAAGAAGCCTTGGCTGCAGTGGCTGCTATCTGGCCATCCCGGAGATAAATGGTGGAGGAAAAGGCCGAAGGGACGAAACTAGTGACGCTGATGATTAAATCCATTAATGATAATCTAAGACATCGTCAGATTGCCCCGTTCTTCTGTTGATGCCGCGCATGTGTGTCCGTTCCGACGCGGACTGGAGGAGGACGAATGATATTCGGAAGCGAAACAGCGGGAAGAGGCTAAGAGCGCAAGGCGCCATCGCCTCATCCACCATCGCCATAGTAGTATCTTGATTGATTCTATCGTCGATCGATCCCGATCTGTGAGAGTCACTGGGGCTGAGGAAGGTTACATTTGAGAACCGTGGTTTTGTCATCGGAAATCTGCATCGACATCGATCGGAGAGATCTTTGTTCTAGAATAATGCATCCCCCAGATGAAAAGTTATCCTACCAGAGTAATAATACACATTGCCGTAGAATTAACCTTGGGGCCACAAGCCTATAATACAGACAACCATATCTCGACAGACATGAACATGAACCATGCCTACTTCGTCAATGGCTTGATTCCCTTGTGAATCGCTGCAATCCCACCAGTGAGATTTTCGTATCCTCGACCGGGGATCATAAATCCAGCCTTCTGAATCATAGACCGGAACTCTTCCTGGCTGGGGAACTTCTCAATACTCTCGACAAGGTACTGGTAGCTATCCCGGTCGCCGGCGACAATCTGACCGATGAGCGGAATAGCGCTGAAGCTCCACTGCTTGTAGATAGCATTGAATAGACTGTTGTCCACCTTGCTAAACTCCATGCACGCAAAGACACCGCCAGGCTTCAGTACTCGGAACGCCTCCTCCAACGCAGCCTGCTTGTCCGTGAAATTACGGATGCCAAAGACAACTGTATACAGATCCACCGAGTTGTCCGGGATACTTGGCATGTGTTGCGCGTTGGCCTCCATGAAGGACAGCCGGGGGGTATTGTAGTAGGGCGTGTCGATGCTGCGCTTCTTGCCCTCCGCCAGCATGTCGGGGTTGATATCGGCGATAGTCACCCGTGTCTGATGGTCGTTGTTGATGTTGGTGGCGTGGTCGAGCATGCGGAACGCGATGTCGCCGGTCCCGCCAGCGATATCGAGGATATTCCAGCCCTTGCCGGTTGTGTCGTTGTCGCGGGATGGGAGCGCGGACCCGGGGTTTAGGGATCGTACAAAGTGGTCTTTCCACAGACGATGGATTCCAAGGGACATGAAATCGTTCATGGCGTCGTAGGACGATGCAACGGAGCTAAACACCGTTCTTACTGAGGCGCCCTGTTAGAATGTATCTTCTGCCTTGTGACTTTCCGCAAAACACAGGCGGGAAACAATGTGCATGACATACCCATAGATTCTTTTTGGGATTCGGGAACATTCTTGAAGCCGAAATGGGTCATCTGGTCGTCGTGATTCGACTTGCTATCTTGTACTTGCAGCGAGCAGGAGAAGCATCGGTACTGGCTCTGGGGAATAGTCACCCTTCGCTTCGCACTGTAGTGCAGGCTCCTCCATAATGATCGGGTTGACATGACGGGATGATATTCAATGGATTGGACCCCAGATGTGAGGTTGAGGTGAAACTCTGAAGCCGAAGAAGAGGGTGCACAGTCAAGGAGTTTGACCCGGCCAGAGCTCCCAAGACCTTCGGGGCACTTTTTCTGCCGACCGGATTCTCACGCCGCTCTTATCAGCCATCATCGCTCCATTGGGTAACCATTCTTGAGGAAAATAATTATGTTGAGTGGATTCTACCTGGGAATGCTAGCTAGAATAATTACTTTAGCCTTGGACTCTGCTCGTGAGAGATAGGTGCTTAAGATCACAGGCTTTCTTGTCAGAAAGCAGCTCACCAAATGGGGATGAAGTTATGAACAGTCGCCGGAAGAAACGTGCCAGTACAGCTGCTACACCCAGCTTCTCCGAACAGAATTTGAATTGATACGGCTATCTCAATTCTGTACTGAATTGGTCTGATATTCAGTCGATCTGGTGCACAGGGCAATCTGGCTATAATCTGCTAGCCCCTCACCTTCTGATCCCAGAGACTCTGCACTGTCACCCTCCGCAACCAATCATCTGTGACACTTCCTTCCTGGGCTACAAAGGCGACCTCCTTTTTCTCCCCCGGACGGAGTACGAAGGCATTCTCCTCAAAGTATCCTACTGCACCGGCCGGGTAGTCGAGCCAGGTGTAAAGGGAAACCCCTCCGGTAGCCTGAACTGTATATTTCCTGCTGTCCGGGCTGTACGAGAGCTCGAGCTTGGGGTCCCTCAAAGCGAGCTCTCTGGGAAAGACTGGCGTGAAATGGTTCTGATGGACAAATGCCTTTTTATTGCTTGTATTTGGAATACGTCCTTCGCCGGAAAGAGACAGGATGAGAATGGAGTCTTTGAGATCCGGCAGAGAGAGCTCAGAGATATTGGTGGTGTAAATGTTGGTCGTGTTAAGGGCGCCCACGGTGAAATTGACAGTTTCGGGCGAGCCTGCATTATTAGCAATGGTCTCGCCTGACAGATCAACCCAGGTCAGATTCACGGTACCCCGCGCGGGCTCCCACAAGTCGGATGTCACATACACCTCCAAGCGACCGGTGGTGTAGTTCCAAAAAGGCGAGACAATAATGGGCTGATAGATGTCTCTGGCCACATAATGAAGAACCTTCCACCGGCCATCGTACTCGATTCCCGCCCAAGTAGGTGCTTGCCAGATGTCCTCTAGCTGCCAGTACAGCGATCCTAGCTGACGCTCTGGCATTCCGCTTCCTCGGCGGTAGAACTGAATCTGGGACTTATACATATCGGCTTGGAAGAGTTGTGTTGCATGGCACCAGGCGCTGAAGTTGGCAACAGAGTCGGATTTGCTGGGTTTCGGATAGTATGCTTCCACACCCATCGTCATTTCACCCATGCCTCGGGACGAATTCTTGAAGTTATCAGTGAACAACCCCCCTGCAGTGTAGTGATGGTTGCGGAGCATCACCACGCTGCTGTTGAAGTGGAGGTCTTCGGGGTCAACAGCTTGCTGCCATGTCTGCAAACTAGGCATGCTGTGGAAACCGAATTCGTTCGCAAACCGGCCGACGGGGTAGTGATTATAATTGAATGAGACGCTCGTGTCGTAGTTGTAGTAGTCCGTGTCGCCATAGTACGACCCCGAAGTAGTATTCGAGTACCTTTCTGCCATAGGCACAGGCGCAGAGAGATTGACATACAAGTACCCTTCAGTCGTACTGCTGGGGCTGTACGTGATCGAGCGTGTGTTCTCGTACACGAGAGGCAATATCAGGCTGATATATAGCTTTTCGTATTCCCCAACGTATTTGGAATACCCTGTGGGATCCGCTGCCTTGACCATTGGAAGCATCAAGCTCTCAATTTCATTGCCGCCTGCCCACAGAGCTAGAGACGGGTGGTGGTTTACTCGACGGACATTGTAGACCACCTCAGCTGCAACATTCTCCAAAAATGCATCATTAACGGGGTAAAGTGCGTCACTGAACTGAAACTCGCTCCAGAGCAGGATTCCTTTTTCATCGGCGAGGTCATAGATAAAGTCATGGAGATATGCACCAGAGGCCCAGACGCGAAGCATGTTCTGGTTTCCCGCCGTTACTGCATCAAACAATCGTGCCATCCTAGCTCGCGTCACTCGCGGCCAGAAGGCATCCGGGGGTATAATGTTTGACCCTTTAGCATAGAACGTGTGTCCATTGACCTCAAAGTGCCAATTTGCGCCAGGTGCGATTCCCTGGGCCAGCTGGTCTTCAGTAATATTCCTTTGATTGAGGAAGATGGTACGAAATCCGGTTCTTTTGGTGACCCTTGCCAGGGCCTTTTTCTCGTCGTTCTGTACGGTGATGGTCACGTTGTACAAGTTCTGATCGCCCATGCCACTGGGCCACCATAGTTTCGGAACATCGCCATCGACGGTCGTGGTACCTGTAATGGATCTTCCAGATACCGTAACGTTTTGCAGGAGTCCTGAAGAAAGGACTGATCCCGATGCAACGTCTTTAATCTCAATCGACATCGAGGGGTTACGCGGCACAGGTCCTAAGAAGTCAATACTCGCGTTGACAATCCATGGTTGGCTCTGGTCAGGGGGTACATAGTTGATCTGGCCTTGTCGGTAGATGTCTAAGTCGGTATTAAGAACGTAGAGGTCGGCATGCTTGTTTTGAACAATGTATGCGGGCTTCCATGGTCCAGCCGGAGCAAAGGCAGGCCCCCAATCCCACCCGAAGTCCGATTGTTCTTTGCGGATAAACCAGCGGTTTGGGTACTCGTTGGTGATTTGTACACCAGTAGGCCATTCTGTAACAGCATGAGTTTCAATGCGCAACAAGTCGGGAATGACAGGATTGTTGTCGGGATCCCTGACCTTCCGCATCAGGGCTTTTTGCCATTGCATTTGCAATATTTGGGGCGCTCCCGAAGTTGATCCTAAGCACTGGATCTTGCTTGCATTCTTTCAAGATCTGAGATATGTCGAAATTGTATTGCCGGAATTGGTTATCGGTTGAACCAACATGCTGATCACAGAACGTGATTGTTGCGAAAGTGTCCAGTCCATCAAAGACAAGCCATGTGGACTCGGAATTTTTGAGGCTGTGAAGCATCAGCATTTAGAGCGATCAGATGAGATGTTTGTAGAGCCTTCACCGAGGGTACTCACAGGCCTTCAATCGGGTTGCTGGTATACGTCCAGTTGGCATCAGCAATCCAACGAAGGTTGAAGTCATTGAGGCCGTGATATCTGCGAAGGGGTATCAGATTACGATTCTGTTTGCCATCTAGCACCAGTCAAAGCACGTACGGATCATCTAGACATCTCGTTAGATCATGCAATTATCAAATGTGAAGAGTCCCCATACCAATAACACCTGCCTCAAACAAGTCCAGATGGACTTGAGAAGGAAGATGACCTGGCACCGTCCGATTCAAGGTTGTACTGCTGAGAGTCCAGCCATCTCCACTTAAGTCCACAACATGCTGACTGGCAACCGAAGGTAAACTGGGCGTAAGCAACGCTAATACCGTCTCGCCTTTTACATGCATGACGGACTAAACTGTGCTCAATTGCTCAGCGGTTTAAAGCAAGGCAACTCCATGAGAAATTCCTTGACCTCGGACTCGGAGTAAGGGGCAGGCTTTATAGAATCCAGCGCAGACGTGTCTCGGGATCAATCCGATATCAAATGTGTCAAACAAGCATTCACTTCCTGCTCGCGCGAGTGACGACAGGTTGATCAATCCCAAGTGGAGAAGACGGTGGTAGGGCCGTGTTGAATCAGGTAGAAGGTATGGATTGGAGGATCCCGGAATGATGCTTATTTGAACAGCGTGGGATGATCATGCGAGAAAATGATCTATCAGCCCATCAATGCAACACTACTCTGATGCAATGATGCAACCGTGCTCTGCGATGTAATGGTAGGTGAGCCAGACTGAGCGAATCTCAGCAAGCGGGGAAGAGAGGAGAAGATCGGCGCCGTGGGGGTGAATGAGACAAGGAGTTATCCTAGAGACCTGCGAGACTGACTTCTTACGGTTAGCATACTTGAAGTACTCTGAAATCTTTGAGATTCACCTGTGAGATGCAATGACGAGGTTCGTTGAGAGGAGAGGGTGGTCCAAATCAAGGGATAGCTGCCACAGATGTAGTTGCTGTCCCTGGTTGACTCGACATAAGACTCGGGGGAAATCAGAGTACAGTCTATTACTTGGCTACCTTTAAGGTACCATAAAGACATGATTCACTATTATAATGATCTAGAGCAAGCAAGAGTTCAACCTAGGTTTGTGCTATTATAATTGCCTGAATGGAAGGATTGTAATGCAGGACCATGGACGATTTGATGGAAGCGTCATTGTCTATATATATACCTTATATTAAACGATCTGACCCTCTGTAAATATCCACAACGTTCATAACAAGCTGACAACCAACAAGACATACCAATATCGAGGGATCTCTTCTTCTCTGCTTTCTATACAAGATAACTCAACCACTGACATTTTCCTACATGGAGCCTAGCCATGGGTAAGCGTGTCCCAGGATTTGACTCGATGAAGACAATAGTGGCTCTTTAAGACCAAACCAAAGCATTGAGGTTGCCACATATCAACTGAAGAGGTAAGTACGAAAATTCCGTAGGAACAGTCTCATTGACTACATGAATTGATATATTGAAGCCATTTCATACACAGACTGTTTACTGAATTACTTATCGACAAAGCCACGGCTAAGTGCGGGGATAACATGACGTCGGGCCCGACGCCAACCGAGTCCTCCGCATTTCCCCAGAATCATAAGAAATCAACACCCTGTCGGTCCCTGAATGTAAAAAGGGTATTGTGATTCTTCCCCCTATCTCACTCAATGAGCTCCCGCTACAGTGAAAACTTTCAGTCATGTCGTTAAATCTTCTGGCCCGGTTACCGCGGCCAGCACGCAGCCAGCGGGCTCTCCTCCCTTCCGTCAACCGATGGGCCAGTTCCATCTCCCAGCGGCCAGGATCGGATAGGTATTTGGCACAATTCCAGACACAATAGGATGGAGAAGAAGATGTCTAACGAAAATATGGAAACAGGGTCCGCTTCCCTGGTGCTGTCAACAGCAAATTCACCACGCAGATGTCCTTTATTAACCCTTCCGAGACGTCGAGTATCCCTACCTTCCGAGTAATGGACTCTGACGGAGTACTGCTGGAGAAAGACCGGAAAACACTCAATGTCTCAAACGAGGAGATATTATCCTGGTACAAGAACATGCTCACTGGTGAGATCTTATCCTGGTTTATTAACCGGACGGTCACTGATGGAAACAGTAAGCGTGATGGACGTGATCATGTTCGAGGCCCAGAGACAAGGGCGTCTCAGCTTCTATATGGTACGAGCACTGAGCCCGAATAGTCCGTGGTAGACCCAACAAGTCTCACCAAGTGCAGGTTTCCGCAGGAGAAGAGGGCATCAGCGTAGGCTCCGCAGCCGCCCTGACCCCCGACGACGTCGTCTTCGCCCAGTACCGCGAAACAGGAGTCTTCCAACAACGCGGCTTCACCCTCAAAGACTTCATGAGTCAACTCTTCGCTAACCGCAACGACAACGGCAGAGGACGTAACATGCCGGTTCACTACGGGTCCAACTACCCCCGCACAGTAAGCACCCGCCCTTCAACATGTCTAACTATGACAAATCTAACGCAACATGCAAGCACACCATCTCCTCCCCGCTCGCAACCCAAATCCCCCAAGCCTCCGGCGCCGCCTACGCACTGAAGCTCCAAGCCCTCCAAAACCCCGACACCCCGCCCCGCATCGTGGCCTGCTACTTCGGCGAGGGCGCCGCAAGCGAAGGTGACTTCCATGCAGGCCTGAACATCGCCGCCACGCGATCCTGCCCCGTAGTCTTCATCTGCCGCAACAACGGCTACGCCATCTCGACCCCGACACTGGAGCAGTACCGCGGCGACGGCATTGCCAGTCGCGGCGTGGGCTACGGCATCGACACGATCCGCGTCGACGGCAACGACATCTTCGCCGTGTACGAGGCGATGCGGGAAGCGCGCCGCCTTGCGCTCACGGACGGCGGCCGTCCGGTCCTCATAGAGGCGATGAGCTACCGTGTCTCGCACCACAGTACGAGCGACGATAGTTTCGCGTACCGAGCGCGGGTGGAGGTCGAGGACTGGAAACGCCGGGACAATCCGATCATCCGACTGCGGAAATGGTTGGAGAATGAAGGGCTGTGGAATGAGGATATGGAACAGGAGACGCGCGATAAGCTGCGCAAGGCTGTCCTGAAAGAATTTGGGGATGCGGAGCGTGAGAAGAAGCCCCCCATTCGGGCGGCATTCGAGGATGTGTATGATGAGTTGACGGAGGAAGCGCAGGAGCAGATGAAGGAGCTCAAGCGCATTCTCGAGACGTATCCCGAGGAGTACGATCTCCGTCAGTACGAAGATGGCATTAAAGGATTGTAGAAACCTTGGACTGGTGGCACGTTGTTCCTTTGACATATAGATCTGAGATACCCGCACTGGGTAGTATGACTGTGATGAACATGATACAAGGGCCTGACTACAGCTTTGAAGATCATAGAGCAGAGAGCATTCGTCCTCAAGACGGTTCTGGAAATTTCAAAAAAAGTAATGATATTGGAGTACCATAAGAATGGGGTAAGGGCAACGCCCTCAAACGTACAAGAAGAAGAAAAAAAAAAAAATCAATCCCCCGCATAGCTTTTGTACTGTACAATTCGTCATTCAATAGTGCAGGGAAGAAGTGGACAACAACACAATGATATCCAGTCAACTGACTGCTACCAGTCGTCTATCGTTATGCCAGTGGCAACCCATTCATCAGACTTGCTAAACCTCCACAGTCGTAGCAAGAGCCTGCTGTGCAAGCTTCTTGTTCCGCTTGAACAAGGCAGCGAGCTTTTTATCAATAGCATCTAGTTCCTTTCGCGAGCCCTCAAGCTCCTTCTGAGACTTGAGAGCAAACGAACGCAGCTCCTCATCAGTCATGCCAACGACATCGTCGAGGTCTGGAATAGCCCCCATAACCACACCAGCAGCTCCAAGCATATGTTTCGCAGTAGCAGCTGCAAAAGACCTGACGGAAGCTGCCGTCGCGTTGGCCAATTCGGCAGTGCTGGCAATAGCCCAGTTATGGCTACGCGTACTGTCCGCCTCCATAGTCGACAGGACGTTTGGCGGAGCAGAGGCAGCTGACGAGACAGATGCATCGGCAGCCGGCGGTGATCCAGAATGCGCTGCAGATGAAAGATTGTCTGTAGCCTCATCTACCCAGCAGATATTGAAGTTCTCAGGCGTGGCGAAGAGCGCATCCAAACCCCCGCCACGATTGGTCGCATCGGGTTCTGTAATAAGAGCTGCCGGATATTCCTGGAAAGAATCGATTGCCCACCCAATGCTCTTTTCCAAGGCAAGATACCTGTCTTCTTCCTCGGGCGACAAGTGATGAAGGACACAACCGCGAGGCGTGATGAGGCAGCGGTCCTTCAGCTGGGCGGAGGTAGAATGGAGACGGACAGGCTCCCCACGAAGTAAAGCTTTTCGGTGCTCCTCGGTCAACTCTATAGGCTGCTTCAAAAGTTCGTAATCGTCAGATGTACATTTCATGTCAAAGCGTTGACTGAGATTCGAGGGATTGAAGAGAGGGTGATTGTTTAGATCCAACTGGCCAGTCTTGTGCAGCTGAGCAAGTAAGACCTGCAATGGTGAAGTCCGTTCCGAAAACAGATCTTTGATCGAGATGCCGCTTGATTCTGAATCCTTGATCATCTGTTCCAGCGTGTTCTTAGAGCGCCATGCCTCTGCTGGCTTCTTCTCAGATACCGGTTGCTTCTCTTCAGTCTGGGGCTTCGGAGACTTCTCCTTCTGCTTATTCTTCTTCGTCTCCTCAACCATCGGTTCAACCTTCTCAGCCACATCTTGAGGGCCGGGCTGGCTCACTTTTGTGGGCTCAGGAGCATTGTCTGTGCTTGTGTTGGATGCATCAGCATTGCTTGTCGGAGTCTTCTTGGTTTTGCGTTTCCTGCCAATAATGGGAGCTTGAACTGGCTCCTCTGTGACCGAGGCAACCTCCTGTTTCTTAGCTTCGGCTTCCTTGGCCTTTTGCCGCCGTTCTTTCTTGGCCTGACTCTTAGTGATAGACCGCACAGGTGCAGAGCCAATCCTAGAGGAAGCGGGAGGCGAATTGGCACGAGAGACGGACGCAGACGTGTACAGATCAGCTTCAGAGCCCAAATCACCGGGAGTGTCGGGCCTACTGAGCGAAGAAATGCTCGGCCGTCTGGAACGCGTCTTCAATGTTGCCGGGAGAGAAACGGCAGACTGAGAGATGGAAGCCGGGGGCGGTGTCTCGGTCTTTGGAGTGTCGACCACACGGAGCACCCGGGGCTGTCGAGGAGCCGAGGAGTCCGAAGCCCGGGAGACTCCTGTCATAGGAGTGTTTGGTCTTGACCCGACGGCAGAAACTGGAGCTGCAACATGGCTGAGAGGAGGAATCTGAGCGGGAGATTCTGCTTTCGAGGACGGGGCTTCTTGAGGCTGAACTGGTGTCAAATGTAGATCAAGCTTCATTGGCTTGGCCTTCGTCGATGGTTTCTTGTTGGGATGACTATTGTTGGCATCTCCATCTTTCGCACTCGATCTCTTATCATCTGAACTTGATGAGAACTCGGCTTTGGCCTGTGACCGAGCTTTTTGGGCGAACTTCGGTACAGGCGAACCCAGGGAAATCTCGGAGACGTTCTTGACCTTGGTGGGAGGCGGAACGCTTTCGGGAGTTTCTTGAGGTTCCGGAGACGGCTGCTGAGATTCTATCTCCGAAAAAGGTTGAGATGGTGTTCCAGGCTTAGAAAGTGTGATATTGAGACCAGGGGGTGGCATAGAGATCGACAGAGACGGGCTCGACGGATTCAAAGGGCTCTGAAACAACGACGATGCCGGGTGAGCGTGTGGCAAAGGCAGACCAGGGGGAAGTGTTGGTGTTCCGGCGCGAGCGGTCCCCTGAGTGTCACTGGGAAGATGAGATCGAAGGAGGAAGCCAAAGCTGTCGACGGGGCGCTTGTCCTTGAGCGGAGTCCCCAGAGGCGGGAAATCCTCGTCCACTAGTTGCTCTGGTCAGTTTACTGAAATGCAAGAGATGGGTGAAAGAAAGGGTATCAAAGGAATCAACGCGAGATGATGCAGACAGTAGACTCTCCAGAGCAAGGACAGAAGCAGATCAGACAAAATATACGAAGAACTGTGGGCATGATGATTACAACAAAAGTCCCCGGCTAGGTTGACCAGTCAGACGCAGGGCAACGGTGTCTATATGAACAGTGATTGTGAGAATTTGACTTCAGATAGACGGCCCTGCTTCAGTTTACCAAAGTCAGGGCAGGGAGGTTAACGTACATGGAACCATGGCCAGACCGAGCGGACCTCACGGCGCTGATAGATCAACCCAGCTTGGATGCAAAAGAAAAGAAAAGACAAAGTACGACAGCCACCAAGTCAATGTGGGCCAGAAGAAATGAGATCTTCATGAAAATGCGACGTCACTCATCCGAGAGGATGTAGGCAATACGAAAACAGTAGAGAATAAAAGGGGAAGGAAATGAAACATGAAAAACTCCGCCACAAATATAACGCCAAAGGCATTCCGCCATAACTGCTTGCAATTTTCAGAGCCGATTGCCCAATGCTTCGTTGCAGAGTGAATAGAATCAAAAAAAGGCAAATTCATATCCTGCACCACGTGAAAACGAAGAGGGAAATATGATATCGTGTCATGTAAGGGGAAAAGAAAGAAAATCAAAGCTCAGGCATCACGAGGAGAAATGACGTGTAGGAGGAAAGCAAAGATGGTCATCACAACGAGCAAGAAACGAGTATGCGAGGAGAGAAGACTGGAGAGCAACAAAAGGGAGAATGGCAATCACCAGCGGTTGAAACCGCCTCCGTACATCATGGAGTGATTGTACCCACCTTGACCCTGACTCCCATATAGCGCTTGCCCAGCAGTGGCATTTGCACCGACCTGGTGCATCCTCGCCTGCAAAATACTCGGGTCCGCAAGATCTACTACACCGCCTCCACCGGAGGAAGTGTTAGCATGTCTGTGCTTCTTCCCCTTCTTCTTCTGCTTCTGTGGCCCAGCTTCGGAGAAAGTCCCCGTGTGGGAACCATAGAAAGAGCTGAGAAGGCCATTGGCAGGAGTCAGGGGAGGGGGGGTTTGGTGCTGTTGGAGAAAAGGAAACATGAACTCACGCTTAGCGGCCTCCTGCCCTTGCAACCCACCGGCATTTGTGCCACTCCGACCTCGCAACAACTCGCGCATCAACTCTGGGTTGGCTTCCTGCTTCCCGACGTTGCCGCCCAAACCGAGGTTGGCACTCGTGGTGAATCCGTGACCTTGAGCAAACATGCCGCCTCCACTGATGGGAGGAGTACCAGCTGTCTTCAGACCGGGTGGTGGACCCTGGACCCCGCTGGTGTAGAAGTTGTTGGTGAGTCCGTGCTGAGGGCTAGGTGCTGCCAAAGGGTTCGGCGTCCCGGATTGCATCAAACCAGCCTGCTGGCTGAGCATCCTGACGTTGGGAAGGTTCTTTGGATTAGCCTCGTTGGCAAAAGAGAACCGCGAGGACTGACGGTTCTGGGCCTGTAGGGCATTGAACTGCGCCATTTGCGACTGGAGAAGACCTTGACGAACTTGGGTGGCTTGATCCAAAGCAGTCGAACCCAGCCCACTTTGCAAGGGATCAACCAGGCCAGCCTGCTGGCTGCTGGCAGATTTGAGCAGCATCAATTGCTGTTGCTGAAGCGGGGTTAAGCTACGACCGCCGAGGTTGAGTCCCTGGAACTGGTGACTAGCGGCCGACACAGGGGACCCAATCGCAGAATTCGTCGTGGTACCCTGTTGAGACGGTGGCTGAATAGCACCATGGGAGTCACGACCTCCACGACCTCTTGGAGGGTGAGCGTCATCTGGTTCACCGCCCAGTTGCAAACTTCCACTTTCTCGGCTTTCCTCCTCAGCTGCCGCATTTTGAAGGAGCTCCTGTTCTCGCTTCGCGCGCTCTTGCTCCGCCTTCTCCCGCATGGCTCGACGTTTGACGCCACCGTATGGGTCAATGAACGATGGATGGTTCTCAATAAGAGCAACCTCTTCTGTAGGGAGACCGGCTGCAGAGAAGATGAACCTGAAATCCGGGGAATTGACCGCCTTGAGGATATTTTCGAGGAGGGGTGCGATAGGGTCAGGCGGCGCCTGAGCCGATGTTTGAGGAGTGGCGGGGCGTGCTTCTGAAGGTGCCGGCGTCTGATGTCGCTCCTGGGACTGCTTCTCGGTCTTCTTGACTTCGTCTACGGCCTGTGCGACCGTGGCATGCACTGGCCGAGGACTCTGAGAAGCTTGACTGCCCGCTAGACTGGCTCGCCTGGTGCGATTGATGGCACTATCTTTGTTTGCCCAACTGGCAGACGAGGGGAGAGCAGATCCGTCTGGTTGTCGGATGCCAATAACATCATCCTTACTGGCCTGTCTGCGCATTGGCTGAGAGATAGGTTGAGCTGAGGATCGAGCGACATGGGCAGGAATGGCGTGACTGGGTCCGCTGGGGATACCGGTGGGGCGCTGACTGGACAGTGTGTTCATCGAAGAGAGATCCTGTCGACTATAACTATCACTATCTTCGCCTGTCTCGTGCAGGAAAGTACAATTTCGATTATTGCACTGCTCATTGCGGAGAAACGACGAGCAATATTTGGTGGTCCCATATTGTGCCCTGAATAGGTCAGTTATCTGAGAGTTGCGAACGAAAATGATGGAGAAATGAAAAGCTGGCCTACCTGAGCACACGGTCGCCGTTAGTAGAACCGTCCACGGCAGCAATACAGGTTGCAGCATCCGCCTTGGTTGCATATGTCACGTAGACACCGATACCCTGGTTGGGATTGCCACCTGGTTTGGCCTTGCTGACAACGATTTTTTCAATCTCGCCGTATTGACCGAAATAATCCTTCCCGCGCAAAGTTTGAAGTAGTTGACTCTCGTCGCGTATTGTGGGGTTGAGGCCGATCACGTAAACCAAGTTTTTCTGTACGACCCTGACCCCGGCTAGATTCTTCCGACTGGAAGCCTCGATCTCGCGCTTTTCAGCTTCCTTCTTTTTTGCGGCGGCAGCTTTTCGATGTTTCAACGCCAAGTCGGCTTTAAACCTAGTGTGAAAACGGAGCCGTTAGCGCCAAGAAATAGACATTTGGGTGAAGCGGAGGAAGGGAGTGTTGCCAACGCGCCGAAAATGGAGAACGTACTCGTCCGCATCAGGAACCTTGTATTGTATAGTGCTTTCATCATAAACGCGCCTGCAGTTGGGGCATCGGCCTTCTTCGCTATGGGTCTTGATGTTGTTGTAGCAAAATTGGCAGATCTGGTTTGGTCATGGTTAGAAGAGAATTTGCGCAAAGCACACCACAAGGCAGCAAGGAATAAGCTTTGCAAAAAAGAAAGGAGTAACTCACCTGATAACCGCAAGGACATGGCTTGAAGTTCTTGTCGGACAGATCGAATTCTTCAATGCAGAGAGGGCTGAGGTAAAGACTTGTCAGCCCAACCGCCGTACAACACCAGCGCTGGGAAAGGACTCCAAACATACCAGAACTCATCGTCATCATCGATGACAGAATCTATTTGCGGGCGACTCGACATATTGCTCGTCCTTATGAGAGTGTACTAATTGAGTACGTATGTGCAGGTGGATGCGAAACCCCAATACCTATAAACCGAGACCCCGAGATGAAGGGGGAAAGGTAAAAGAGGCGAAGGAAACGGGAAAAAAAATGACCGGTCGCTGAATGACAGCAAAGCGACAAGAAAAATCCAGAGGACTCTAGACAAGAAATTACAGATGTCGAGAAAGGGGAGAGAGAGAGGAAGGAAGCGTTGATAGTACGCAGCAGGGAACGGAAGAGGGATAGATATGCAGCAGCAACAGCAGAGGAAGAGAGAGTTTGAGGCGAAGAAAGAGAGAACGAAATGGACGCGGAGCTGCCACATCGTGTTTGCCTTGTTTGCTTTGTTTGCATTTTCCCGCTGTTTATGTCAGCGTCCACGTGACTCCATGATCCAAGCAACCTCGAAGTTCCTCTCCGTCCAGCTCCCTGTGGATGTCTCCGGTCGCTTGAACGCCCCTCCATCGCCTCAATTTCCTTCTCCGGATCCGCCATTGTCCCTCCACCATGGCCTCTGCTCGCTCATTGATGCGATTGGGCACTGGCCGCTCGCTGGCATCGGCCGCGAGGTCATCCCAGACATGCCGTGCCTTCTCTTCGACCGTGCAGTACGCTTCCAAGGCCTCAGCTGTTCCCGAGCCTGAGAACATGCGCAATGCCCACCGTCCTCGTATGCAACTGACTACTGTCTTTGATGAGGAGAAGCTGAGCTTAACTGACTCACTTTTTCTCCAGCCCAAGGAGCTCTCCGCGCGCCGGTCGTCAACCCAGCCGACAAGTACCAGGATAAGGCCGAGAGCCTGCACAAGTACGGCCAATATGTCATGTCCTGCATGCCCAAATACGTCCAGCAGTTCTCTGTGTGGAAGGACGAGCTCACAATCTACGTTCCTCCCTCCGGTATCATCCCTGTGATGAGCTTCTTGAAATACCACACCGCGGCCGAATACACCCAGGTTTCCGATATCACCGCGGTTGATTTCCCCACTCGTGACCAGCGCTTCGAGGTCGTCTATAATCTGCTCAGCGTCCGCTATAACTCCCGTATCCGTGTCAAGACTTATGCCGACGAGGCCAGTCCCGTGCCCAGTGTTACCGGTCTGTACGAAGGAGCGCTGTGGTACGAGCGTGAGGTCTACGACATGTTCGGTGTCTTCTTCAGCGGCCATCCCGATCTGCGTCGTATCATGACCGACTACGGGTTTGATGGGCACCCTCTCCGCAAGGATTTCCCCTTGACTGGCTACACCGAGCTGCGCTACGATGAAGAGAAGAAGCGCATTGTCATCGAGCCGCTTGAGCTGACACAGGCTTTCCGGAACTTCGAGGGAGGCACCGCTGCTTGGGAGCCTGTTGGTCCTGGTGTTGACAGGAAACCTGACTCGGTACGTCTGGTAACTCTTGTGAATCAATGAAATGCTAATATGATTTTATAGTTCAAGCTCCCCACCCCCAAGCCGGAGGAGAAGAAGGGGGATGAAAAGAAATAGAGCTCGAGAAATGTATCCGTATTTCCCTTTCCACCTTGTTTGTATGTACATACCGCGTATATGTTCGAGGAATCTGTTCGATTCAATGCCGTTGAATATAGCACACCTAGGACTACGTAGATAATCCCAATTAGAACCCCCGCCATTGGACACAGACATCACGCAGCGAACTAGGTAAACCACAACCACGAATAAAGACGGTATCAATTAAAAGCCCTCAGCGACAAAAGTTCATTCCATACTACAAAAATATCCAAGCGCGTCAGAATCCCAGTATGGTGAAATCCCAACCCCCATCGAAAAGCATCGACGAATCCACTTCTTGGCATCCGCCGCAGAGAAAAAAGAGGCGCCCAAGACAGAATCTCCGCATCCACTTCCCACCACACCTCCTCCGACCACCACATCTAACCACCAACCCTCCACAAAAGACAAAATGCCGAAGCGCAAATTCTCCGACCTAAACGACAAAGCCTCCGGACCCAGCGACATCAAACTCGCGCGCCTGACCGCCAAATTCGAAAACGGCGTGGTCGCCTTATCGCGGGCCCTCAAGACCGCCCGAGCCTTTGAGCGCCAGAAACTCGGCCGGCGAGAGAAGACCGCGAAGAGCGAGGGTAAGCCGGAGGCTCTGGCGAGAATCGAGGAGGAGATCAAGGTGATCAAGGTAGGCGATTGCTGTGTGGAATGAAGGCGCATCTACCCAGAGTGCAGAGAGTGGAGAGAGTGCAAAATGGTTGACGCTTGCGATGCAGACTCTCAATTTCCAGTCCACGGCGGAGAAATACCTCTTCAAGCAGCTCGTCAAGACGAAGCGGATCGCCGAGTCGCCGGTTTTTCTGAAATTCAGGGAACGGAAGAATATCTCTACGGAGGGCCCGCGGAGCACGGCTGAGGCGAATGTTACAGCCCGACTTTACAAGTCGAATCCGGTGAAGAATGTCTTTCCTGGTATTATGGATGGGATCAGGCAGCTGCTCGGACTGGAGAATGCGCCGGCAGGCAAGAAGAGCGCCCCAGAACAGAAGAAGGGATTTACCGAGCAACGCAAGAGTGAAAGCAAAGAGCCAGAGCCAGCGTCAGATGGAAGATCAGAGGCGGAGTCGGAATCTGACGCAGCCAACCGAAAGGTGGCGTCCAAGTCCACCGCGAGGTCCGCGAAGCTAGCGTCCGAGGATGCAGACGGAGGAGAAGAAGGAAGCGATATCGACATGGACGACGCCGAGAGCATAGACTACTCCCACTTCGACGCACGGCTAGCCCCGGGCTCCGGTTCCGACAGCGAAGGCGAAAGCGACGCAGAAGAAGCCTCAAACTCTGACGACTCGAACCACCCAGCGCACTACTCCGACATCTCTCGCTCCATCTCCCGCTCTCCCTCCCCCGAACAACCCACGAAAAAGTCCAAAAAGGCCTCCTCCACCCCAGCGACAAGCACAACCTTCCTCCCCTCTCTGACAATGGGAGGGTACTTCTCCGGCTCCGAGTCCGAGCCCGAAGACCTCGAGGGCGTAGCGGGCCCACCGCGCCGCAAGAACAGAATGGGCCAGCAGGCTCGCCGTGCCCTCTGGGAGAAGAAGTACGGGAGTGGAGCGAACCACATCAAGAAACAAAAGGAGAACGAGAGGAAGAATCGGGATAGTGGCTGGGATACGCGTCGGGGCGCTACGGATGGCTCTGAAGGGCCGAGAGGGAAGCGTGGCCATGGTCAGGGACGGGGGGGTGATGGATTCCGGCAGAGGGATGGCAACTTCGCCGGTGACCGGCCGCAGCGTGGTCCTCCTGGCGGCTTCAACAAGAATAATGTCAAGGATGATAAGCCGTTGCATCCTTCTTGGGAGGCGGCGCGGAAAGCTAAGGAGCAGAAGTCCATGGCTGCGTTCCAGGGAAAGAAGGTCACGTTCGATTAGCTTGCATATTGTCTCTTACGAATGAGAATACCCTGCGAGACAGATTTTTGGATTGTTAATGTATATATAGCATTGTTGATATGTTCAGAATAGGTATCATGCGTGAAATGCGAGGCTGATAGCCCTGTCCAGCCTTCGGAAATTGTAATATATTTCCCAATTGCAAAATTGCCTTGCCTCATGAAAACAAAGACATAGCACTCCGTCTTCAAAAACTGACGTTCATATCATTCACCCATGAACTGCATCCACCTCGTATCCGGTGGGCATCCTTGGGACGCCTTCATGTCACCCCCAAGGCCCTGTTGAGTATCAGTCTCAAAGCAGGGAATGGCAGTAAACTCGCCCAGTTCCTGCGGAAAGTTGGAAACAAAGTGGTCGAACCCCAAAGGCGGCATTTGAGAGAACGCATGGGGCGCGGAAAAGTCCGAAGAGCCTGCAATATCTGTGCTAGCGACATCGCCTTCCATGGCGTCGTTGCCGCCCTCCGTGCCCGTCATCGGTGTGACAGGCACAGGAGGGATCCCTGTTCCGGGGCGCGCCGGAGTATACTGTTCAGGGAACGTGACCGTCGTCCCCGGGGAGATGGGTCCGGTCTTCCATAGCATCTCCCAGTTCTTGAAGCGATCGTAGGCGGACTCGACGGCACCGGCATTTCTTTGGGCCTGTGTTTCGCTCCATTCTTCAAGACGGCGGATGGCCCGCTCGAGCGCCTCGATCACGCTGACGGCGGACCTGGCGGAGCCCACTCCCATCGACATGATTTTGATCAGAGCCATGCCTTTTTCTAGCGCCTCGCGCAGTCGCTCTGTCCGCTTGGTCAAGCTCTGGGCTAGAATGACCAGGAGCGCGGCGCGACAGGAGCTGAATTCGGTAAAGGACGCTCGAGCAAGACCGGTTTCATCACGGAGCAGCCGACAGAGATCGATGATCTCGAGTGCCGCCTCGACGCAGTCAGTGACAAGCGTTGACCAGTTCTTCGAAAGTCCGGGTGTTGTTTTGAATGGTGGGCCTTGAAATATAGCTGGGTTGGTGGACTTCATGTTGCTGAATAGGAAGGGTCGCCCAATGAAGATTCTAGTTAAGCAGTAGTCAAGTTTCAAATGTACATTCGAACGGAATAGGGGCCCGGAGGGATTCAAGTCTCGACAATCGGTCTCTTCTGGTAAAGTAGCCCACCAGTCCAGCAGATTCTTTCTCAGACTGAGTAACCGCTCAAGACAATCCTGCTGTTGACCTTTCCGAGATCTCCGCAACACGGATCTTGCCAACGTCAGCGCTCGTCTGATGACTAAAAACCACGTATACTCACATCTCGTTTGAAACTTCGCCCAGTTTCAGTGTCAGCTTGATCAACGTCACCATGTTGGTGTGGTTGGACACTTGACCCGTGGGCATCAGACCGGGAAAGTCAACCGGCATCGCCGCGTCGACATCCGCATCCGATAAAGAGACCGGTCTTCCATGAAGGATACTAACGCGCCTGTTTTTGATGAGCATATAGCGACTAAGCATGATCGAGGAGAATGACCTACTTCTCTATAGTGTACGCCGTCCAAAAGACGCGGTTGCGGACCTCGATCATCCGCGGGGTGAGCCCCTCGCCCTGATACTTCCGATGCATACCATTCTGAATAGCCATCTTCAGTGCTAGACCAAAGTATGTATAGCAGAGCCCAGAGGTGTCGAGAGGTAGTAGATATGTCCCTATCAGCAGACAGGCCTGAACACTCCGAACCGAGGCAGTGGCGATGATATCAGGAAGTAATTTCGACGCAAACTGGTAGAATGTGAGCCCAACTTCATCTTCTGAAAAGTGATGGTCATCGCTAATCGATGCGTCGGCCGACAGTCGATTGACAGGGGTGGCAGACTCCATGTGAGCAAACTGGGTCCCAACCGCCAGGACCATGAGAATGGAGCAGACTGAGCCAGCATCGTCGGACGAAAGGCTCGATGGGTTTGTATAACAGGTGTGGAGTTTTTCCCGTAGCCAGTCCTCTTCCACGTAGAAATTATTCGTCTGGGCGTACTTGAAGAAGATTTGAACCAGAAAATCTGCCACATAACGAGGCGGCAGACAGGTGATTGATGCTGAGACCATGGAAGAGCCTGACTGTAGCTGTGTCGCCCGCCATCTCTCCTCAAATGGCTCCGCTTCGGTAGATGCCTGAACGATCAGCACAATTCAGAAATTGGTGAACGTCAATACGTACCTCCGGTGCCGCAGCTTTCATCCATTCATCAATTTTTTTCCGAATCTTCATCGAGAAGTTCAAATACGAAAACTCTCCAGAGTATTCTATATTGACGATCAAGTCAGCACTAAACAGATCACGGGGAAGCTCGCTATACATACGTGTTGTATTATCAGGTAAAGCCTTGATCATAAAATCCTCATCCTCGATCGCAAGATCCTCAAGGTCCTCGCCCTCAACACGAGTCGAAGGGACATCAGACTCCGACCCTCGGTGCTTACTCTGCAGCTCCTCGGCAGCCTTTCGCAACGACGGAATGTCAAAGGAGATGTTGGGCACATAGTACTCCAAGATCCGCTCCATGAGACGGATCCGCTCCGCATCAGCCATGTCGTGTCGGCTGAGGCCGGCGGTGCGCTCCAGAAGGCTGACGGTCCGTGATGAGTTTCTGGCTACCAACAAAAAGATTGTGACATCTAAGGAGAAAATCAAACTTACGAGACCGACGATGAGCGGGCAAGTTTCTCTGCATGATCGGGGTGAGTAAAGACACACTGTCGCCGATAACGCAGACACCGCCGACAGGGCACGCCTCCTTCGCATTTTTCCTTCACTCGCCGACAACCATCGCATCTGAGAAAGCAGTCAATTATCGGTCAAATCTGGAAATGCAATAACAAAAGAAATGTAGCATTATGGGGGTCATGAGAAGACGGAACCTACGCTCTCACAGCTCTTTTGCGGTTTTCCTCCGAAACGCGGGGACGTTTCGAATTCCCCAGAGATGCCGGGGTAGAAACATCCATGACAGTCTTGAAATATCGAAATCAAGGAGGATGATGGATGAGCATTGTCTATCCCTCAGGAACAATATGAATGAAGGACAGATTCTAGTTTACTTCTGCTAGTCCAAGTGAGGTCGACACGAGTGCTTATGATGGGGGGGAAAAGGCCGATCCGCCGGGGCGGTGTCTGTTAGGTTTGTCTGTCCAGTGGGAAAAAAGAGCTTTTTTTGCCGGCTGATAAACCTGATAAGCAAAAGGAGGAATTCCCCGCATGCACCGGTACGAGGGTTATGACTCTCTACAGGCTCATTTAATTTGGTCGTGGTCGTGTCTGAGTAAGAATATATCAGTGTTCTAACAAGACAACGACTGTGCGAGTGGAAATACAATTTCACCTGATATCTGCCTAAGGCATCAACTCCTCTATACACAGTTGACCAAACTACCTGATGTGCTGGTGCTCAATCCATGTCCAGTACATCAGGAGTCAGGAGGCAAATAACTCAAAGAACGATCAGAAACCATCCACATTCATCCCCAATCCCTGTTCGACGCCAAGATCCAACAGCTTCTTCCCAATCACCAAATCCATAATCCCCATCCCCACGCACTTGAAAACCACATTGCACCCATCCAGCACCACAATCGGCTCCGACTTCCCCAGTCTCCCAAACAACTCCCCAATCTCAATCAACTGCTCCCCCCTTACCCGCGCCTGGATTAACTCCCCCGATTCCTCAAGACAAGCCTCCCGAGAATCAACATAGATCTCCCCACCACCCGAGAGGATCGTCTCGGCGTCAACCTCGCGCATATGCGGCTTGTACGACCCAATGAGCGAAATAAACCGCTGCTTAGGCGTAGACGTAGACGTAGACGTAGACATAGAGGTAGACGAAAGATAGCCGTGGGGAAAATTCGGCTCCGTAGACGGCGTGCAGCTGAAGATGACGTCGCACGAGGCGACCTCGTCGCGCAGTCGTGCCTCATAATCAGCATTATCCTCCCTGACCAGCGTTCCGAATACGATATCCGGATGAGAGCATCTCAGATCCGCAATCACCTCCCTCTCCAACTCCTCCAGCCGCCTGCGCCCCCGGTTGATGAAGGTGATTCGCCGGACCAGCCCCGGAACCAACAGCAGCGCCAGCCGCGCGTGCCACTCTGCTTGACGTCCCGAGCCGAAAATCAGGATGTGCGCCTTGGCGATGGACGTGCAGCGGGTGAACAGCGTCATGGTTGCAAGGGCCGTCCGGAAGGCCGTGACTTCTGCGGCGCTGAGCAGGCCGAGGAGCCGGCCCTCCGGCGAGAAGATGTTGATTACCCCGATGATGCCTTCGCGCTGGGAGGCTGTGACGATCTTGATGCCTGTGCTGGTTGTATTGGAGACGGGCATGAAGAGCGATAGATTCCGGTCTTTGGTGGTGATGGTGGTGCGGAGGGGTTGATGGACGAGACGCTCTGGTTCTGATTTTGTTGTCTCTGATGAGACGGTTACCAGGGAGTCGCTCAGAGCGTCGAGTAAGGTGTGGCATTGTTCTGGAGTTAGGTTTCTCAGAATGCGAGAGACGTCTGGTTCGGAGAGAAGATGCATCTTGGAGCAGCCACGAGAAGTAGATGTAGTCTGGACGAGTTACTACCGGATGTCTGTCACTTTAAGGTGAGATAGTATATTCCGCAACCGCAGGGAAGCTGTGTTTTCTCATTAATATAAAAGTCAATTGTACTAGTCAACCCTCCTTTATCGAGTCACCATCTCACTGATAATCATACGGCGATGTCGGAGGTGGAGTCAGACTGCGCTTGGTGACTTGTTTAGCTGCACGTCGGAAAGAAGTCCAGATAGTGGCCGGTCCTAACCGAATACCTAGCCAATTCTCCTTTAGATGAGATATTGATGCTCAATGTGGTCCATTCATTCTACTAAGGGTACAATTGACCTGGGCTCTCCCTCAAGGGATCAGGAAGCGTCCATGAAGTAAGGTGAGATGGCAGACCGAAAATCTAATGGAACATGAAAAGAGCTAATGTATCGTCTATGTCAACAAAATTAACTTTACTTGCAAAGTTACAATTCCAGCAGGTACAGGAACCAAGCTGGATTAATATCCAGGCCCCGGCTCTTCAGGAGTATATTTCGCACAACGGTCCGGTGTTGGTTCTGTTGCTCAGGACTTTTCTCACTCTTTTGATACCAATCTTCTGCTCGCTTCAGATGTTTCTCGGCGAGAACAGCGAGTGCCAGGCGGTATAGGTGGGCTTGGATGTCCGGTGGTAGGGAGTGCTGAGCCTGTTGAAGCACTGTTACCGACGCGCCCCAATCTTGTGAGGCGATAGCGTGCATCCACGATTGCCACCAGGTAAACTGCCAGGGAATGATCGTGTCTAACCCATTGTCGCTGTGGAGGATCATTTTCGCAAGCTTGGCTCCCAGATAGGGATTGTTTCGAACAGCTACATATATCGGGAAGTTTGAAGCTGCATTGGGGATCAATGGATTTGCTCCGCGACTGAGAAGGAGTCTTAACACCGTGTAGACCTCGTCAACGAGCTGCCTTCTCTCCAAGAGCAGCATCAGAGGTGATTTCCGGGCCATGTTGAGGTGATTGACATCTGCTCCCCTTTCCAGCACGATCTCGAGTAATTGGTATATTGAAGGATTATAGTACCAAGCACCCAGGAATCTAATGAGCTCATGTACGCATGTGTCGCCTATGCTGTTGACTCTTGCGACATCTAATTTCTCACATATCAAGGCGGCAAGCCGGAGGTCACAATTCTGGAAGGTATAGCGAGTCTTATGGCAGTAGTTCAAGAAGTATGTCAATAACCGCTGAGAGCTCGGTCCAATCGGTACATCCGGATCAGCACCCTTGCCCAGAAAGGTCCTGAACAAGTCGTTGAGGTGACTTTTAACATCAACCCAAGCATTGTATGACTTTGCGAGGAAGAGCTTGAACAGAGATGTTATCTTCTCGGTTGTAAGATCGGTGGCTTTGGCCGTTAACATCTTGTCAATGTGACGTCCATGATCCCAGCTCATGGTCGGTGAGACGAGTTCCACCGCCTTGTATATCGGAGTCATACCAAGGTTGTTGGCGATATGAGGATTGGCCCCAGCCTTCAGAAGATGGGTCGCAATGCTCCTTTCGTGATCATGGTTCAAGCTTCTTGCCGAAATGGCCAGATGCAGAGGAGTATTTCCGTCCGCATTTCGATGGTCAAGGATGAGTCGAGTAAAGTCTTGCTTGGCCATGGGCTCCATGTTGTCCGCGCGATAGCCGAGTAGAAGCTTGACAATCTTCTCGTCTCGATGGTCAGCAGTGTAATGCACCGGCAGGTTACCCTTCCGATCCTCCACATCAATTGCTGCCCCTCGGCTCAGCAAGGCTTCCACCTCGTCTGCCTGTGCGTTCATGACAGCTTGATGAAGCTTCGTGTAGCCCGATTCGTCTTGGAAGTTCAGGAGAAAGTTCGCAAAAGTCTGGTCAAACATAGACAGGGGCTCCCCGATCTCAGAATGGTCTGAGACGTGAGCCCCAGGAGTAGTAGGGTATGCCACGGTTGTGCTCGGTACGAAGGAGACGGGGTTGTTTGCCTGCGAATACCTGGAAGCAGAGCCTTTTATGAGCATGTTGTCCCAAGTCGAAGAGGTCTATTGGATTCTCACCTCGCACCTGCGTGATCGCTGAACGGCGATAATGTAGTATCATCGTCATCTGCCGGCATCGGTTGGTCGATTGACAATCCCCGTGGCAATGTACCAATATTTCCAGCTCGTCTCCTCGTCTTTCTGAAGCCCCAACGCTTGAAACAGTTCTTGTACGAGCGTCTTCTGCTCTCTTGTTCAGCCGCAAATATTGACCTGAGAGTCATCCACGGTACTCACGACTTGTGAAATCCCCGTCTCTGCATCTCCAACATCACCTCGGTACAGGTCAAATCTTGCTCCAGGTAGAGCTGTCTGATATCGTCCTTTATGTCCTCCCAATCTCTTGTCATGGTTGGCAAGAGTCGATAGACTCAAGTCTCGAAAAAAGGGAAAGAGAACGACAACGACCGGACAAGGGCCCAAAGCTCGTAGCGAAAGTGCCGAAAGCCGTGCGGCGTGTGCCTTCTGAAAAGACGACTCGAAACACGAAACAAGAGGGGAGAGAGCGCAGATGACATGACCGGAACAATAAGTAGCATAACCGAATATCTTCAGTGAGGGAGCAGCTGGATTAAATGAGAAACTCCATGGTCTCATTCTCTTCATTCAGACCCTCGTCTGACGACTCATCCACCGAGTCAATCATCGAAGGGCGCTTCTTTCGAAGGGCAGCACAGCCTGACGCCTGCATCATCCTCCCCTGTTCTCCCAAATTTTGTTCTCACCTTCGTGATGGAATCACCAATGGCAATATGTTTTGATCTCTGTCTCTCGATTAATCAATGTCGACTTCCGGGAGTGTGTTCCCCGCGGAGCAAAAGTACTGTGCGGTAATCGAACAAGGGCAGGCTTCCAAGATGATGGAATCATGCGTGGACGGTCAATGGCGGCAAGTCAGATGAAATACTAGTTAGTTCTTTTCCGGGAGCGGGACAGAAAACCCCGTCGTACGCAGTGCAGTGGTCAGGTGTGGTTCTTTTCAATATTGCGGAAATCAATCCAGCATTCCGGGAGAACAGGGCCAAAGTCCATCAGCCCAGGTGAGGCAGAAGACAAAAGTACCGTACTCTAGCCACGTACTGCTCTGCTCGAGCGGTGTGGCCTGTGTGAGTCTGTCAGGCTGTGGCGGAACTAAGAGAAAGTACGTAGATGAGTACCGACAAGGGTATCACAGAAGATGGAAAAGGGGCAGCCTCGGATGGGTAAAGGGGGGGAAATCGTGATGTGTTGGCAAACAATGATGGCAAAGACTGATGGTGGTTGCGATGAAGATGGACATGGGTCTCTCCCAGAGTTCAGAAGGGCAATTTTCAACAGGTAAAAAATACCCTCCAGGTCTTTGCTTTTGTCATGCGTTTTCCTTTCTTGTCCTTTTCCTTTCTTGTCCTTGTCTTTTCTTTTCTTTTTCTGTTTTCTGTTTTCTGTCTTCTTTCCTTGATTTTTTCGGGTCATCGTGCACCAATAGGCGCTTAACGGATTTCTGGGATCCTTGCTAAGATGGGTTGCCCCATTAAGCAGAAAGGTACCATCGTCGGGCGGTTTGCTGAACGCTGAAGGGAGAGAGTCCGTGGTACTTTTTTTCTTCCTTTCTAAAAAGTCGTTATCATTAACCGATGAATCAAGCTAAAGCTAAACCACTAACGCCATCTAAATGCATTTTCGCCAGCAGGACACCACAGAATCACGCAAGAAAAAATAATATGCATAACGACGCAAAGAATTTTCAGCCACACCGCAGGATGGTATCAGAAGGAGAAAAGAAAACTCATCGGGGTGACGATCAGTTGCTCAGACGGAAAGCCTGGCGGGCTCTGCGCTTGAGTTCAGCGAACATGGCCTCCTGCGACTGCTTGGTACGCCCGACGGCCTCGGTGTTCTCGACGGCACGTCTGAGCAGGAATCCCATGCATTCCTTGACCGATCCCCAGGTGAGAAGCTTGTACACGTTAGGCGATTCCACGAAGCTGTTCTTGCCAGTGGGCTCGGGGCTCTGGAAACCTTCCAACAGCTCGCAGCTGACTTCGTCCGCCATACCCTGAAGCTGAGCATACGAGAGATCCACGCCCTTGTCCTCGCCCTGGCTTGCCTGCTGGAGACGCAGCGCGTGTGCCTTGCGGACAGAATCACGGTTGTGGGTGGCGATGATAACGTTAACGGGGGGCAGCTCGGTCTTGTGTTCCTCGGACGCGGACTTCAGCATGGAGTTGTACCGTCTGGTGAGGAGGGCTTCGACAACGCCGTCGTAGCAAGCGTCGGTTTCCTCCTTCTTCGACCAGATCAAATGGCGAGGCTCGGTCTTGAGATAGGCTCCACGGACCAGCTTCACACCGAGGGTATAACCTTCCTGGCGAGAGATCTCCAGGTGCTTGGCGAGAGTCGTGGGGGTCGAACACAAGTAGGCCTGGTAGGTGTTGTAGAAGATGGCACGGCCAGGTGTCTGCGAGTTGCAGTACTTCTGGTACTTCATGGTCCAGTTCTCGATTCCGGGCTGCACTGCCTGCTCCTCGGCATCGACGAGCAGACGAACGTTACGGGAAATAGCCAAGTCGCAAACTTGCTGGATCGCATTGTCCATAAACGGAGAGGGGGCGGCCTTTTTCTGCAAGATGTCCAATGCCTGGACACCCATACCAGTGAATCTATGGCAGTTAGTTTGTCGGCTCATATTATTGTTGGAAGATGGTCGAGAAAAACATACTTCAGAGCGACGAAATCGCCCTCCTGTGCCATGTCCACAGTCTGCAGAGTCCCGTCCAACCACATCTGGACCTCTTCGCGAGCGGCCTTTTCATCGCGAGGGTCGACGTTGCTCTCACCAACCAAGACCTCCTTGGCGTAACCCAGAAGGACGCCTCGGTATCCAAGATTCTTAATAGCGCGAATGGACTGCTGAACTTCCAACTTGTTTTCTCCCGCGTTGAACTGCTTGTAGATCGTGTGCTTGACGAGCATGTTCAGCAGAGGGTTTTTGGCAACGTCGAGAAGAGCCGCTTTGGGATGCGCCAACACTGAAAGGGTATAGATGCATGGCTTCAGTAGAAGTGAGGATGATGAAACAGAGAGGATCATCAAGGACCGCAAGACAGATGAGAGAGGGAGTTTCGCGAGCGGCGAGGTTGCCTCCTTCTTGGGGGATGGGGGAACTTGATGCAACAGGCTACTAGCTGAAGTTGCTGCGATAGATGATTTCGCATTGCTTGTGCCGCTGACATATCGGGGAGTAGGATAGGTCGTGGGGACGCAAGACAGAGCCCGCAAAGGACGGCGGGGTGCCTTCATTGTTGTTGTGGTTGATAAGGTGGCGGTACAGGGACGAGTAATCTGAGGTATCGATGGATGATAATCAAGTAGTGGGAATAAGGATAAGGATGTTGATGAGTTTAGTATTCGTGATGTTGAGGAACTCTAGACAAGTTATTATTCTTATTATTCTTAAAGACACTACTTGGTGCTGATAGAAGTGAAAGATAGATAGTAGGTAGTAGTATAGCCGGTGGAAACCGCCTGAGGCCCGGGACGGTCAGCAATATTATTTCGTTGTACGGAGTAAAGACAACCTGGAACGGCAACGGCAGGTCATTTGGTAAATCGGCATCGTTCGAGTGGCGCCAGCTGGCAGCGGCAGTGATACAAGATTGAATAATGCATTCATATCTTAGATCCACCCATAGAACAGGATCGACCACTACTGTATGCCCTTGATTGAGCTAGCTACCACTACTACGGAATGACGATTAAGCTTGATTTGCTCTGCGATATTGACCGTCCTGTGATATTGACAGGATACGATAACCATAAAGATTGACGACTCAGGCTATGCGTAGGTCTGTATCTGGAATAAGCAGCAAGCCTCAGCCTGTGTCAGTGGCCAATGTCGATAAGCTGACATCAAGGACACAATCTGCAAAGGATGATAAGTGGATGGGAGTCAATCTTAGGCCGGTTCACGGGCCGGCCACAGTGTCTCATTCTCCACATCAAACAAGCCGCTTGACCGGGCCGGTCACTTTTGCTGGAATGCTGAAAGAACGCGTGACCGTGAGCAGGTGACCTAGTACGTTATTCCCATAAATCTGCTTGACTAAGGTACTAATACCTAGTATATTATAATAATAATATAATGATCACTTTGTGCAGTCCTGGTTACACAATCAAGAACTCTTACCTCATCCTCCGTCAGTCGTGACTCATGTGACCATGCCGATGCTAGCCGGGTCTTGCCTGTAAAGGGAATGGGCCCTGATCCTGCAGGCGTGGCAACTACATCGAATGTGGCCTAGCGCAAATTGACTAAGACAAGCTTGATCACGTGCATAGTATCAGCCAATGAGCTTACTGGGATATAGATCCTGATGGGTCAAGCTTTCCTAGAACAAAAATTTTCGACGGAGAAAATTGTGCAGACCTTTGAAGGCCGAGAAATGGCCGTCAGTTTTCATTATTAACAGCTTCACCATTGTGGATATGCAAGTCTGGTCATTCGAGGCTTCCAGGCTTTCCAGCGTCTCCATGCTTTGCGGAGAAAACCCCAGATTTTCCAGAGAGGATCATGTCGATACTGACATGTCGACTTGAAACAATGCGTTGCGTCTCTTCTGCACGACCAGCACACCAATAATTGCCCTTTAGACAGGGCTTTTTCCTTCTGCGCCAACCCTTCAACATCGGTTGATCGCCGCTGGCTTGTTTAGCATGGCAGCCACACTGCCATGGATCTTGGACGCTGGCTGGCAATGCATTCCTGAGCCAGTAGGACGACGAGTCTTGCACTCACCGAGCCGTCAACCCCACAATTTCTCGTTTGATACGGTTCCAGGCCAATAATGCTAGGTTCTGAAAGCCTCATCCGCACACTCTTAAAGTCAAATGTAATATTATCTCGTGCAAGAAAATGATAAGGGCTGCGTTCCTGAATGTGAAAATGTCAGACCTGGGGTGTTCGGTTTCCCCCGCAAGCTGGTTTTTTCGCCCCTCGTTTTTCTGTGGGATTTGTCTTAAAACCCTGTCAGCTACCAATTTGTCCTTTCCCTGTAGGCAGCCCTCGTACTCGTCTTTGCCTTGCGTTGCTTCAGTATGAGTCCTCCTTCGCCCAAGGGCCTCGAGGAGGCTAGAATCGAAAGGTCTCCATCGGATGAATATGACTACGGGGATTCAAAGGGGTTGGGGACACACAATGGACCCAACACGGATACACAACGAGGGTTGTCGTCAAGACAGCTCCAGCTCATTGCTATAGGTGGTTGCATTGGCACAGGTCTCTTTGTTGGCTCGGGAGCGACTCTTTCAATGGTTGGTCCTGGTAAGATGAATATCTTGATTGATGATCCAAAGGCCAAGGCTGTCTAACATCTGAAAGCGCCTCTATTCATGAGTTACCTCGCCATGTCTTCCGTGGTTTGGTTTGTCATGAATGTCCTTGGAGAAATGACCACCTACCTACCGATTCGAGGTATCTCGGTTCCCTATCTCATCGGACGGTTTACTGAGCCGAGTATGGGATTTGCGGCTGGTATGTCATTGCTTGTTTACGGCCATAGACTTTGTAAAACATGCTAACTGGTCTAGGATATAACTACTGGTAAACTGCCTCCCAGGATTTTCTGGTGCGGTACTCATACATTTGCCATAGGTATTCGTTCTCCATGCTTCTAGCAACGGAAGTCACCGCTGCTGGGTTGATCATCGAATATTGGACGACTTCGGTCAGTGTTGGAGTATGGATCACCATAGTGCTTGTCGGTAGGGACCCCTAACTCTTATTCAGTAGACTCATAGCTGACGACTCCAGTGATCCTGCTTCTGAATATTGTCGCTGTTTCATGGTATGGAGAAGCCGAATTTTGGTTTGCCGCTTTGAAAATTCTCGCAATTATTGGCTTGATCATACTTGGAGTGGTCCTGTTCTTCGGAGGCGGTCCGAACCATGACCGTCTAGGATTCCGCTACTGGCAAACTCCTGGCGCATTCAATCCCTATCTGGTCCCTGGAAACACGGGCAGGTTCCTGGGTTTCTGGACCGCGTTCATTAGGTCGGGATTCTCTTTCATCTTCTCGCCCGAACTGATTACTACTGCGGCCGGTGAGGTCGAATCCCCTCGTCGCAACATTCCCAAGGCCACCAGACGGTTCATCTACCGGATTTTCGCATTCTACATCCTGGGTAGCTTGGTGGTTGGGGTCACCGTAGCTTATAACGACAAGGGCCTGCTTTCTGGAGTGGCCAACGGCGGTTCCGGAGCTGGAGCAAGTCCCTTTGTCATTGGCATTCAGAATGCCGGTATCCATGGCTTGAACCATGTGGTCAATGCTGCGATTCTCATTTCTGCCTGGTCATCTGGCAACGCTTGGTTGTTTGCTGGCTCAAGAACCCTGTACTCCCTTGCGATAAGCGGACAGGCGCCCGGGATTTTCTCCATTTGCAACCGCAACGGGGTCCCGTATGTTGCGGTGCTTGTCACCTGGGTAGTTGGATTGCTGTCCTTCCTGAATCTATCCAACTCCGGCGCACAAGTCTTTTATTGGTTCACCAATATCACCACGGTTGGTGGCTTCATCAATTGGGTCTTGATTGCAATTGCCTATCTGGTAAGTCTCTTTGCACCGAAACCTGCACTTGAAGTGAAATTAACCAGACACCAGCGCTTCCGCAAAGCCATGACCTTTCACGGCGTCCTGGATACCCTGCCGTTCAAAACTCCTCTGCAACCATGGGGATCTTACTATGTCATCTTTATTGTATCTCTTCTGACTCTGACTAACGGCTACGCCGCCTTCTTCCCCGGAAAGTTCACGGCTGCCGATTTCCTGGTCTCGTACATCGTGTTTGCCATTTTCTTCCTCCTATACGTCGGCCATAAGCTCTGGTACCGCACTCCGTGGATGACAAAGGTTGCAGATATTGATGTGTTCTCGGGCAAGGAGGAGGTTGACAGGCTCTGTGAGAATGACTTTGACCGGCAGCCGCGGAATTGGCTGGAGAGAGTCTGGTGGTGGATAGCATGATCATTTAGCGATGTTGTTAGTATAGATATTATAGAATTATACAGACTGTTCTGACACAATATATGTTTGCAGCAGGCAGGTCAGATATGCTCGAGAAACGCGAGGATCATTGAGGAGTATGCCTTCCAATCTATCCTCTACATGATATATCAATTGAAGCATCTGCATGTGCAACTTCTTGGTCTAGGTTCCACCTTGGGATTCTCTTCAGTTCTCCGGAGTCCGTGTCCATAGAAACCCCGCCTCCGCAATGCGGAGAAGTGGCCGGTTCAAGGAGGTGTCACTGTGTCAATATTTCCGTTAGTCAATAAAAGATCTAATCCAGAGGTAGATATAGATATCATCCACTTGATATCTTCTAGAAAATATCGATAGGGTAATGGAATCCTCTCGGCTGCCCGTACCGGGCACAAGTTGACAGTATACTCCGGCCCGGTTTAGGCGTGTTCCCACCCGGAATGCGTACCGGACCATACAAATTAGGTATTATTACCAGAACAGTTACAGCCGGCCGGCAGTGATTCCTCAGGCAAACGCAGCGGTATTACCATTACAATCGCCGAACAACTTCCACGCCACCAGGGATCATGCAGCGCGTCGTGAGGGGAACAAAAGAAATTGGAGATGGATATCGCTGTAATGTATGGTAATTGTGCTGACTGATTGTCTTCTTCTTGTCTGACTGGTCCATTCCCACCGACCTTAGCCGGTGGTGCAGTGCAGTGTGATCCCTCGCTTTAAAGTACAGGAGCTTTCCCCGCGTCCGCTTTTGACTCGTTTCTTTTGCTTCATTTTCCATCTTTTCCTTGCCTTTTCTGCTTGTTAATTTTCTTGATCTTATTGCTGGTCGTATCAAGAATATTCAAAATGCAGTCCTCGTTGCTTCCCCGCGTGCGAGCGCAGCCGTTCGCAAAATGCCGTTCTCTTACTAGCAGCTTTGTTCGTCCTAGTAGGGCGATGGGCTCGTATGCTACTTTCAAGGTGCCTCGCATCGACAATGAACCTAACGTAAGTTTTTCGACTCTTGTCCATGGAAGAAATTGATTCTAACGTCAGTAGAAACATTATGTCCCTGGTTCGCCTGATCGCAAAGCTCTGGAAGATGCCCTGGCCAAGGCCAAGCAGTCTGCTCCTCTTAACGTACCGCTTGTGATTGCGGGTAAGGAGGTTGGTTTTCTCGAGTGAACACTTATATACTAAATCAGGAGAATCCCCTAACAATCCCCAGATCAAGAGCTCGCAAACCTTCACACAGTCCAACCCTGCCTCTCATGCTCCCGTGGCCACCTACTCCAACGCCACCGCCTCCGATGTGCAGGCGGCTATTGACGCAGCGCTCGAGGCTCGCAAATCGTGGGCCGCTACATCGTTCGCAGACCGTGCGAGCGTCTTCCTCAAGGCTGCTGATCTGATTTCGACCAAGTACCGCTATGACATTATGGCCTTGACCATGCACGGACAGGGCAAGAACGCCTGGCAGGCGGAGATTGATGCTGCCGCTGAGCTGTGCGATTTCTTCCGGTTCGGCGTCAAGTACGCTGAGGACATGTACGCCCAGCAGCCGGTTCACCACGCTCCTGGAGTTTGGAAGTAAGTTACTTTGCATATTCGATCAAGAATGACATAGCTAACTAGCGCAGCCGCGTTGAATACCGTCCCCTCGAAGGTTTCGTCTACGCTATCAGCCCCTTCAACTTCACTGCCATCGGTGGTAACCTGGCCGGCGCCCCTGCTCTGATGGGTAACGTCGTTGTCTGGAAGCCTTCCCCCGCTGCCATCGCGTCCAACTGGCTGGTTCACCAGATCCTTCTGGAGGCCGGTCTGCCCAAGAACGTCATCCAGTTCGTCCCCGGCGATGCCGAAGAAGTCACCAACACCGTATTCAACCACCGCGAATTTGCCGCCCTCCATTTCACCGGAAGCACCAGCGTGTTCCGTTCCCTGTACGGAAAGATCGCCCAGGGTGTCGCCGAGGGCAAATACCGCAGCTACCCCCGCATCGTCGGTGAAACCGGTGGAAAGAACTTCCACCTCATCCACAAGTCGGCCGACGTCCGCAACGCCGCCGTGCAGACCGTCCGTGGTGCCTTTGAATTCCAGGGCCAGAAGTGCAGCGCCACTTCCCGTGCATACGTCGCGTCCTCCATCGCCGACCAGTTCCTCGAGCAGGTCGTATCCGAAACCAAGCAGCTCAAGATCGGCGAGCCCTCCAACTTCACCAACTTCTGCGGTCCCGTAATCCACGAGGCCTCCTTCAACAAGCTTGCCCAGGTCATCGAGGACGCCAAGAACGACTCCGAACTTGAGCTCCTCGTCGGCGGCACCTACGACTCCTCCAAGGGCTGGTACATCCAGCCCACCGTCTACCACACCTCGAACCCCGACCACCCTCTTCTCTCGCGCGAGCTCTTCGGCCCCATCCTGGTCGTGCACACCTACAACGACGCCACAGAGGCAGACTTCACCAAGATCTGCGAGAAGATCGACCAGACGGGCGAGTACGGTCTCACCGGCTCGATCTTCGCGCAGGACCGCGAGGCCGTCCGTGTCGCGGAGGACGCCCTCCGCAACACCGCGGGTAACTTCTACATCAACTGCAAGAGCACCGGTGCCGTTGTCGGCCAGCAGCCCTTCGGCGGTGCCCGCGCAAGCGGAACCAACGACAAGGCCGGCAGCGGGAACTTGCTCTTGCGGTTCGTCAGCCTGCGCTCCATCAAGGAGGAATTCGTTCCTACCTACGAGGTCGAGTACCCGAGCAACGCGTAAGCTCGGCATGGCATGTGCTTGTGAGGGATAGAAGGGAAGATCGGCATTCGGTTCAGTGATTATTATTCCCCATACGTTGATGTATTGATGCATTTTTACATTTTTTTGTTTCGTTCGATTTCCCTGCATGACTGGCGTTTCGCATTATGGATGCATGACCTAAAATTTGAGTTTTTCTGGTAGATGAATGAACATATTCAATTCAAGAAAGTCTATGATTGCATTGAATTCCGACAGAATCCTCAACTATTGATCCGCGCAATTCTTCAAGAGTTTCTGCATACTCTCCATCGCCTGCTTCGCGTACGGAATCATATCATACTTCTTCCCCTTCCCCTGATTCCCCCCGTCAAAGATCTCCATCGAAAACCACCCCCGGAAGCCGGTCCGGAGCACCGCCCGCGTCACCTCCTCGATGGGCAAGTACCCACCGTCATACGGCATGGGCCGGAAATCATGGCTCCAGCGCCCCCGCGGCCGCAGCCCGTTGATCACCTTGTCCTCGATCGGCCGGGTGGGCTTGTAGGCATCCGAAATCTGCAGCAGATAGATCTTCTCCGGCGGGATCGACCGCGCCAGCTCGTCCATACTCGCCGCGAAGCGCCGGTTCAGCTCGTCGAGTTCCATGTCGCCTACCCGGCCGGAGATGGTCCGGGGATCGCCCCATTCGGACCCTGCGGTCTGGAAGGTATCCAGGCAGAGACCGATGTTGGGGCGGTCGACTGCGCGGACGATCTCCCAGACGTCTTTCCAGGTGGGGGCGTGGGTGGACCAGCACCAGTTCTCGTAGGCGAGGCGCATGTTGCGTTTCGCGAGGAGGTCGGCGAGTTCGCGGAGGTCGGCGACGATGTCGGCGCGGTTGGTGGTGATTTTCTCGGCGGGGGCGTCTGTCGAGCCGACCTTTTTTGTCAATTAGCTTTGAGCTACGTGGTGGCAGGAGGGCTGGAGCGGCGTACCTGAAGCAGGTCCGTCCCGACGACGTTCATGATCTCGATCCATCCGTTGGCTCGGGTAAAGGCGTCCTGGCGCTCCAGCGACCCGCGCGGCCAGCCCTCGAAGTTCGCGAACGGCTGCAGCATCATCACTTTGAGACTGTTGGCGTCGCAGAGTTTGCGGATTTCGCCGGCTACGGAGATGAGCTCGGCGAAGTTCTCCGTGGCGACTTGGTGGCCGAGGAGTCGTGAGCCATAGTCGATGATGTCTGGGAATGATAGCTCGATGGCTGTAAAGCCGGCTTTGCTGATGGCTTCGAGCTTACGCGGGAGTGTGTCGGCGTTGCTGCTGCCGATCGAGCAGGAGGCATATGCCAGAGGGATTTTGCGGAGGGATTCGTACGTGAGAGTTGGGGCTGATGCGATCATGGTGTGGTGCTTGTGATGCCTTGTATATGTTGTTGGAATGAGACTGAGATGGAAATACAGTAATAAAACCAGCCGAATGCACAATCACCAGAAGGAATTCATTGCAAAAAACATGATTAGAAGTCATGCCAAGTAGGACAGCAATGATAGTCGATATCATGTGTTGCTGGATTGAAGCTGTCGAGCCGATGATGTAACCATGAGATCTGCCGAATTAGGGCAAAAGATAGATGTCTGCAACTAGCAACAGAAGGACATCCGGCAATAACGGAGTCGCTTTCCGACGCAGTAACAATCCACATACGCAGAAAAATGATATTGTGCATTGTGATGGACTTCCAGATATCGAATCAGATAATAGATTGGTCGGAGGGGCACCGAGGGTAAGATGATGCCTCGCAATGACGTCCCATCTGCTGTGATGTAATTCAAGCGTACGCTTCTTCACCGGATGAGCTGTCCGATTGCCACTGGAGGTTCGTTCAATAAGAGATGTTGTTCCAGGAATCGATCTCTCTATCTTCATTTTCTCACTGCTCCGACTGGAATGCCGAGATTCATTTGCTTCCCAATCACCCTTGTATAAACCCAGATCGACAAAGTTAGAAGGATACTGTGACCGCCGCCATCATGCCATCAGAAGACCCAGTCAAGAGATTCAAGCGCATCGGCATTGTCGGAGCGGGGAATATGGGCTCGATGATGACCTTTGCCTTCTCCGAACTCGGTTGCGATGTCTCGGTATGGGACGTGAGCCCAAAGAATGTCGATTCTGTGATGAACTTCGCCAAAAGTGCACAGCACCTGAAGGGCAAGATCTACGGGTTCTACAACATCGACGAGTTTACTAAGAGCCTGGAGGGCCAGGCCGAGCGGAAGTTATTCATCTTTTCCATCACACATGGTCACCCAGCAGACTCTGTACTGGGGATGATCAAACATGATCTGAAGGCCGGCGACATCATCCTCGACGGAGGAAATGAAAACTACCGACGGACAGAAAGAAGACAGAGAGAGTGCGCACAGATCGGGGTCCACTGGATCGGAATGGGGGTCTCTGGAGGCTACCAATCCGCTCGACACGGGCCCAGCTTGTCGCCTGGTGGAGATGCCAAAGCACTCGAGCTCGTCTTACCGCTGCTGGAGCTCTATTCCGCCAAGGATCGCAAGACTGGCAAGCCATGTGTCACACGGATTGGCCCTGCAGGCTCGGGACACTACGTCAAGATGGTTCACAATGGTATTGAAGGAGGTATGCTCTCGACACTCGCGGAGGCATGGTCCATCCTCCATAACGGGTTAGGCCTCAACTATGATGAGATTGGCGATCTCTTCTCCAAGTGGAACCAAGACGGCGAGCTCAAGAACAATTACCTCCTTCAGATCGGCGCAGATATGTTGCACAAGAAGAAGACACCACAAGGTGACTACCACGGCGAAGGCGCTAGCAGAGATGATGGCTATGTACTTGACGATGTGCTTGACAAGGTGGTCCAGGACGATGACGGCACCGAGGGGACTCCGTACTGGTCGGTTATGGAATCGGCTGAGCGTCACGTCGCGGCTCCCACTCTTGCAACAGCTCACTTTCTGCGTGTGGCCAGCGGGAATCGTGAAGAGAGACTTCGAGTCGCCAAGAAACTTCATATGCCCAGCCCCAAGCCAATTGAGACCATCAAAGATCGCGCTGCTTTCATTGAGAACTTGCGCCGAGCAGTGTACTGCTCCTTCTTGGCATCGTTCTGCCAGGGCCTCGAATTGATATCGCGCGCTTCTGAGGACGAGGGATGGGACATTGATCTCGGCAGATGCCTTCAGATCTGGCGAGCCGGTTGCATTATCCAGTCCGAAGCCATCGCAGACCTTCTGCAGCCCAGCCTGACATCCAGCAAGCGACTCACCAATATGAAGTTCGTGGACGAGGTCGCCCGAGAACTGCACAAGAATTTTGACGCCCTAAAAGAGATTGTGATTGAAGGGATCCTGTCTGATCAGTACATGCCGGCTCTGTCTGCCACGTTAGAGTACTTGAAGTATGAAGGGGGAACAATGCTGCCGACCAAATTTATGGAGGCGCAGATGGACTACTTTGGCGCTCATGCGTACAACAAGCCAGGTATCCCAGGTGAAGATCCAGGTCCAGTCAAGAAGGGGCCCCATCATTATGAATGGAAGCCAGCATAAAGGTCTGCTGTTGGCGCCAACTTTGATCTTCAAACTGCGTTGTTATAATTTGCATATGCGCATATTCTAGATGAATACAACGTCTTTGATGGCTTTCATAAGGTTTCCATGAATTTTGCATAAGACCGAGCTCTGTAGACCCCGGATATCGACGGTCACAGACTCACAATGGAGAGCGAGCTGTAGTAACTTGTCGATCAGTTCTACCCAAGAAATTGGGAACCCATCGCTTTGGACTTAAAGCGCATTGATTACCATAAGTATCCTGTCTCTGGCATCCCACAGCTCATCTCGAACGAGGTCTGTCGGATGAAGCTGCAAGAAAAGAGAAGGGCGGTTGATGCCTGCTGATGCCTCGGTGCCTGAGATTGACCCCACGTGGGGTCGCGATAAGCGGATCGCCCAATCGGGATGGCGACCCCGCCGAGGGGCAGAAGTTTTCATCTCCGAAAAATAAGCAAGCTACCTAGGTTCTATCAGTCCTCTCTGTTGCTGCATTTTATGCTTGGATTCTCTTCTTTTCGCCGATACCTCTCAAACTTTACCACAGCACCTCTCCGAAGAATCGAGTCTGCAAAGCAGCTAGCGAGAAGAATGACCATTCTCCCCAATACCTACAACGGTGAGTGAACCGTGCTATAGCACAACCAAGCTGCGAAGACTAATCGATCTTTAATGGATATAGAGCCCGTGCGTATCGCCGTCATCGGTGGTACTGGTCTGCGCGAGCTCCCCGGCTTCACTCAAGTTGCGTCGTTGTCGATCACCACGCCGTGGGGCAACCCCTCCTCTCCGATCACGATCCTGCACCACCAATGCTCCCACAACAACAAGACCGTTGCCGTCGCTTTCCTGAGCCGACACGGTGCTCACCACCAGATCGCACCTCATGAGGTGCCGGCCCGCGCCAACATCGCCGCTCTGCGCTCGATCGGTGTCCGTACCATCATCGCCTTCTCTGCCGTTGGTAGCTTGCAGGAGGAAATCAAGCCTCGCGATTTCGTCATCCCCGACCAGGTCATCGATCGCACCAAGGGTGTACGCCCATGGACTTTCTTCGAGGGAGGTGTGGTCGCGCACGTTCCATTCGGCGACCCCTTCGACGAGGGTGTCGCAAAGGTTGTGCGAGCCTGTGGTCACAGTCTGGAGGGCGAGGGTGTCGTTCTTCACGACCGGGGCACTCTGATTTGCATGGGTACGCCATTTTTTCCCTGTGTCGTTGCTTTCGTGTGTTCGGGGAATTATGGCTGACCGTCTTTCAACGACAGAGGGACCTCAATTCTCCACCCGCGCAGAGAGCAACCTTTACCGGTCTTGGGGCGGCAGCGTCATCAACATGTCGTGTCTGCCTGAGGCTAAGCTCGCTCGTGAGGCCGAGATCGCCTACCAAATGATTTGCATGTCCACCGACTATGACTGCTGGCACGAGTCGACGGCCGATGTCACCGTGGAGATGGTCATGGGCCACATGAAGGCCAACGCTCAGAATGCCAGACGCTTCGTCACAGCCGTCCTCGACGCTCTGGCCAGCGATGAGCACTCTGACCTCGTCCAGGCCAAGCACGTTGAGGGATCCATCAAGTTTGGTCTCAGCACCGCCCAGGCCAACTGGAGCCCTGAGGCTCGGGAGAAGCTGGAATGGCTTTTCCCTGGTTACTGGAACTAAGCTCTCAAATCGTTTGAGATGATAGACACGATGCTTCAACACATTGATTCTATGTAGACCTACAGCTCTGGCATAGATGTTTATACTCGGTTACGAAATTATGAGGACTAATCTTTTCTATACTGTTAATACACTTAGAGAGTGGTATACATATCTTTCACTTTATAGAATAGGTTGTTGTTTCTTTTACTCAATCTTTACTTTTGCAAATTATGGAAAAGGGCGAAGGGAAAAAACTGAGAGTATTATGTGCAACTACTAAATGACTGTCTCTACAGACTGCACCATTCACTGCGCCAAAAGACCTGCTTGCCAGTGCACTTATTTGTTTGTCTTCTCCAAAGATTGGCTGCAAACCATCTTCAACAAACGCACTGGGACCTTTTTCCTTGAAAAATCGTGATCTCCACCTTTCTCTCACCTTACCTTTCAGATTTGAGCCAGTGAGGATGGAGCCCGCTCGCTATGTCATTGATCCTGAAGGAGATGTTCTTCTGGTTATAAACCAGCCTCCTTCGAGTAGCCATCCAAGCTGGCTGAAAAAAGGTGTGTAAATGCTTGTTTGATTCAACTTTTCTAGATGAGAAATTAATACAACTGACTAAATCTATTTTAGAGCCACAAGATTCGTCTGTCTCCACCGCGACCAGTACCTCGAACAGGAACGATACTGCTGATTGTACATCTAGCGGCGATGGACTAGGGGGAGTTGAAATACGCGTCTCATCGAGACACTTGGTCCTCGCTTCTCGCTTCTTTGAGGAGAAGCTCAGCTCCAAAGACAAGATACTAAGGTCCGATGAAATGGTGCTTGTGGCTATGGAGGTTGAGGACGTTGACGCCCTGTTGATTGTGCTGAATATGATGCACTGTCGGACAAGCAAAGTGCCACGACTTGTGGGTCTTCGAGTGCTTTGCAAGATAGCAGGTCTGGTCTACGAGTACCGTTGCTTTGAAGCCGTGGAGGTTTTCTCGAGTATTTGGATAGACAACCTCAAGGAAAGGTTGCCATGGTGTTTCTCGGAAGATCTGGTTCGGTGGATCTTTATTTCCTGGGTGTTTCATCACGAGTTGATCTTCCAGGAGACGACTCTTGTCGCTGTGCGTCAAAGTACCGGGCCAATCCAGTGCTATGGTCTCCCGATTCCACAGCCCTTACTGGGTGAGTTCTTCCCCATCAGTTCGCAGAAGGCACAAAGTACTGATTACCAAGTCATGTTCGGAACAGATTCCATTGAACAGAAAAGACGTAATTGGGTCAACAGCATCATTGCTTGGATCTATGAAGAAAAAGAGCGGCTTTTGGACGACGGGGAGTGTTGTGAGCTATGCGATGCAATGCATATCGGGTGGCTTTCAAAGCAACTGCATGCTCACAACCTCTATCCGCCTCCATCACATCCATTCTCTGGGTTAAGTGTGAAATTTCTGGAAGATACTCTACGTGTACTCCCTGACCCACCTTGCAATCAGTTTCATGCGCACTCCAAAGTTTGCATCGAGAAGTCCTGTGCTGTTCTCCCAGGCAGGACGGACCTGCTTTGGCAGCTCATGGAGGAGGAAACTGGCCTAGAATTGACTGAATTCTTGGCTTGACTTTACATGATTGTCTCGAATTAGAGGTCCCTGTGGTTGATGTCTGCTGCTTTAACTGTCACTGCGGAGCCTCGATCCAGCGGTATTAGATTCGCATCAGCAGGATTATTCAGACTACATTGATCACGAGGAAGAACGTCCTTCCAGCCCTAGTGATCAACGAGACTCACAAGATGAATGAACACCTCAATTCCTCTTGACCGATTATAGATCGAACTGATTCTCCACGTGGCCATGTACTTAAACTTTAAGCGTAGCACTTACTACAGTCACCATCTTGCACGTTCGGGGCCACATACTCTGTCGCTGCACTGCGAGGTCATGTAATCGGTCTGATCCCTGGACTGTCCGCCAAACATTACTCCTACATGAACTGATCTTGAACAGCCGAGTTACCACATCTTGCAAGCTGAATCATCTCGGGATGCTCCTTTCTCGCGCTGTACTTATCTCTAAAAGCTTCATAGCTCCCTCAGACATTAACTGTCACTCATGCATGTACTCATTCACCAATCTTTCTCTTTAGACTGAAAACAGTTTGGAATATGCACAATCTATTGGAATTTCCATGATATAACCAGCAAACATGATGACTCCCACTGTGTCCTTATGTTTTCCGTATATGGTAACCCATGCAGGCTTCCTACTTGCTGGGAGACCAGCCTGACAATTACGAACTCAGCCGAGAGTTTGCGATGGATTTCAAAATGACTAATCTATTGGAGTATGCCGAGAAGCGATGCATGAACACCTTTTGATATGCCTGATATTTACTCCATAGCATCTCTTCTATGCATATTTTATGCGGCAATGGCTCTAGTCAACATCTCGCTTAACCGGCATCGTACAGCTTACGTCCACGCCTTGATCTTTGTAATTATTATTATATGAATTACACTGATAGGCTGTTCTCCTACTACCTGACTATACTGGATACTCTATACGATATTACTAAATAGCGGAACTCTTGGCATTCCAATCCTCAACAGCGGAGAGCCGAGCACGTGGGTCTTAGTTCCTGAACGCCAAGGCAGCCAAGCCCTTGGTGTTCAGCCAGAGGCGAAGCTTCACTGTCGAGCATGCTTTGGCTTCTATCTGCTATTTGTCGCCGGCGTAATGCGCATTCCAAGTCTAGAATGACGTCTAGGCACTTCTGATCTCGAATGACGAGTCTCCCTTGTTTACAATGCCGTCTGCCGTGACGTTGCGCCCTTGGCCGCTGCTTCCTGGCCTTGCAATGGTCGATTCCTCCAAGACAGGGAATGCAAACGATCCGTGAGCAATCCTTGCTATTTTATCTCAATATGGGTAATATAAATTGGCTCTCATCCAGCCTATCTGTTCTGGTCTTTTCGGGGCAGAGAATCTCTCAGCACTGGCAAAGTCAACATGCTGTACTCGCTGTCCCTTCTGTTGTTGACGGCCTCGACTGCCACCGCTAGCTATGCGGGCAACCTCAACTACCGCAGCCCCTCTTATAACCACCCTGAATTGGGAGTTTCGATCCGCAAGGTAGCCAAACGGGGCGAGCCGACGTCGGCCTTTGACCCTGCTAAATTGAACTTCACCCACGGCGTGGCTTCAGGTGATCCCTATGCTGAGTCCGTCATCTTGTGGACACGATGTGCCCCGGGTTTCGATGATGTCCATGACAATAGTACTACGTCTGGATTGGTTCCTCTGTACAACCCTGTGCCTATCTACTCGGGCAAGGACAAGAAGAAGCCAGTCTCCAATGCGCCTGTCTGCCTGAACTACAAGGTCTCTCGGGATGCTGGCATGAAGAAAGTTGTTTCGGAGGGAACGGTGTTTACCAGCTCTGATATCGACTACACTGTCAAGGTTAGCACAAACGCATCTCATTCGTTTGGAGTGACACAGCATGCTTACTTGATGATAGGTCGAGGCAACCAAGTTGAAGCCGTTTACCACATACTACTACCAGTTCAATGTGTGTAACTCGAACAACAAGAGTCCGATTGGGCGGACCAAGACTGCTCCTGCGCCTAAGGATGACGTTCATAACATCAACCTGGCTGTTTTCTCGTGCAGTAACTATCGTACGTCCTCGTTGCTCCTTCTTTGACTTTGTACCGCTTTGCTGATGACACTGTAGCCTTTGGTTTCTTCAATGGCTACGGAAACCCCGTAAGAAAGGACTCTGTAGACTACGTTCTGCATCTGGGGTAAGACCAGAAGATTTAAGATGATCAAGGGACAATGCCAGGCTGACTTGAGATAGTGACTACATTTACGAATATGGTAATGGCGAATAGTATGAACCCCTACTCACCCAGTCCACAAAGACAGCAACTTATCGTGTTATGCAGTGGCTGGGGAAACAGTCTGGGACGCATCCCCCAACCGGATCGAACCATTTTCACTCTCTACGATTACCGCAAGCGCCTGGCAACTTACAGAACCGATTTGGATCTTCAGGCGAGCCACCAGAACTTTGCTTGGATTCCAGTTTGGGACGACCACGGTATGCACTCCTGCAACTCATATGAGTTTGAGATCTGACCAGAACAGAGGTGTCTGACAATACTTATCGCGACGGATCCTCCAAACTCCACAACGATGAGGAATCCTTCCTGACGCATGGCGGGGTGTCGGTTGACCAACGCAAGATGAACGCCGTCCGTGCTTATTTTGAGTGGATGCCAATCAGGTCCGATTCTGATAGCTAGTTTTTCTTTTTGTTCAGGGACTAACTTGCACAGACAAGTTGAGATGGATGACAACCTTCGTATCTGGAGAAACTTCCAGCTCGGTTCTCTCGTTGACCTTATCATGCTGGACACCAGGCAGTATGATCGCTCTATCACCGACACCTACGACAATACCGACTATATCTATGAGATTGCCAACGATGCCGGTCGAACCCTGATGGGTAGCCGCCAGGAGAACTGGTTCTACCGTAATTTGATCGATTCGGCTAGGCGAGGTGCCCACTGGCGCATTATCGGTAGTCAGATTAGTATGTCCCCTTGCTGTTTTGATTGAAGGATGAGGACTAACATAAGTAGTCTTCTCTCGCCTCAATCAGTCCATTGCCAATGCTGAACATCCTCTCAACGTCGACGCCTGGGATGGATATCTGGCCAACAAGAACCGCACACTTCAAACGCTCTACGACAACCAGATTGGCAACAATATCATGATCGCCGGCGACTCTCATGCCAACTGGGTGAGCGACGTGGCTTGGCTCGACAACAAGCCGTACGACCCCAAGACCGGCGCCGGCGCCATTGGTGTTGAATTTGCGGGGACTGCACTTACCTCCCCCTCGCCATACGGACAGAACATTACGATTGCCAATGCCAACGCGGCCTCAAAGGCCCTGGTCACTGACAATGAAGAGCTCCACTGGTCTGAGCTGTACTACCGCGGGTACTTTGAGCTTCATATCACCCCTAAGGAGGTAGAAGCCCGCTTCTTCGGTCTACCCAACATCAAGGAGCGTAACGGCGGCGAAATCTCTCTTGCCAACTTCACCGTCAAGAGCGGTGCCAATCATCTGGAACGCAACTCCAACGGCGTGGTGGGCGGAGGCGCTGTGGCCAACGGATGGCTCAAGAACGGGCAGCTGGTTCCTACCAACCAGACGAATAACACTGCCACTGGTACTTATTACGTCTATGGGCAGTAGATTGATGAAGAAGTATGTGGTCAAACAGATGACTATAAGCACGACAGGCAGATTGTGGTATGTTTGTACCGTGATTCAAAACGCTCATGTGGATTCCTGGTTCATAGATGTCCTCTATACCTAAAGGCATGAATATTCATGAGTATATTCCTCTTAGAATGAGAAGCATATATAGGCCTGCAAATCGTCAAGCCAAATGCTGCTGTCTTCGGTTGAAGCGCATTATGCATACTAGCCCAATTCAATCCAGAAGACATTCTGTCTGGGAAATAGACCGATAAAGTAGATTGGATCAGCTCAAAATATAAATCAGCTGATTCGAGGACTTTTTGGCCTTGTTCTTATCATTTTGTGATCTGGCACATGTCACATACAATAATGTGAAAGAACGAGAATAACAGTTCCTGCTCGCCTCTCTTGTGAGAAAGCTGTGATCAACATGGAGCCCCTGAATATCCGGAGTATCTTCAAATCCCACATCTCCACATCACATCAGACTGCTCCACCACGGGAAAAGATCAAAGATCGGCAGGCTCTTTTCTAAGCGACGGATCAGCACTCCGAATCCTGATCGGCGTCTGTATAGAGTATCACACTTGCTGTAGCTGGGATGACTGCTCCACGTCTGCAAGTCTGGATTCGTGGAGAATGAGATGCTATCGTCGAGTGTCGAGTCTGGCATGCGGGGTAGGCAGTCGACACTGCAGAACAGGAATGCAAGCAAAGGGTCTCATGATGACCTGGAATCATCCTGGTCTCGCAGTGGAGGATCGTCAAGCACTAGACTACAACCGGCCTCGTTTCGAGACGGAGGAACTGCGCCGTCTTGGCCACTGACGCCGGCCTGCCCCGTTATCCAGTGAGATGCGATGATCGCTTGAGACACCACCATGCCCTTTTACCCGGATCACAGTGGAAGAGGGCACATGCTACAATTCCCAAGGGATGAAGCGTCAGAAAAAGGTAACCGCTCCGGAGCCCGAGGCTTTGGTCCGGTTGACCTGTTCACGATGACTCGATGAGCGAGGGACCTTTGGCGGGCTGACTTGGTCTGCATATCCTTTCCCCTCTTCGATATGGACTGGATAGCGCTATATATCTAGGCCCTGCTGCGCGAGTGCGCAGCGTGGCCCGATGTCTACTTCTGGTCGCGAGATACGACAGCTCGACTACGGCTATGTGTGCGGATAGCAACCGAGATTGATCACGAGTACTTGTCGAAGGATATCCTGCTGAGTCTGGGAGATTTATCGCTCTGCGCGGCCATGCCTGTGCTTTCAACTCTGGCCCTAGTGGCTTCACTGGTGCCCTTGACGCTTTCGTCTCCTACCTCAGGGTCCCGGCATTCCACACAGCTGAAACCACGAGATTCTGCTGATGGATACTTCTCGCCGCCGTACTATCCTGCCCCGAATGGAGGATGGCTATCCAGCTGGGCAGATGCTTACGAAAAAGCTCAGAGGGTGGTGAGCAACATGACCTTGGCCGAAAAGGTGAATCTGACCACCGGGACGGGTATCTTCATGGGCCCATGTGCTGGCCAAACCGGGAGTGCCCTGCGATTTGGAATCCCCAGCCTCTGCCTTCACGATTCCCCTTTAGGTGTGCGCAACTCCGATCACAACACCGCATTTCCGGCCGGCATCACTGTCGGCGCGACCTTTGACAAAGACCTCATGTACGATCGCGGTGTGGGACTGGGAGAAGAGTTCCGCGCGAAGGGAATCAACGTGCTTCTGGGCCCATCAGTCGGCCCGATAGGGCGTAAGCCGAGAGGAGGTCGCAACTGGGAAGGCTTCGGCGCGGATCCCAGTCTGCAAGCGATTGGCGGTGCGCAGACGATCAAGGGGATCCAGAGCCAGGGTGTCATCGCTACTATCAAGCACTATGTCGGCAACGAGCAAGAGATGTACCGAATGAGCAGCGTCGTCCAAAAGGGCTACTCGTCCAATATCGACGACAGGACGCTCCATGAGCTCTACCTGTGGCCATTTGCCGAGGGGGTTAGAGCCGGAGTTGGCGCCGTCATGGCTGCGTACAATGATGTGAGTGCCTCCGCTCAAGTTCTAGCGTCAAGCCATCTGATGAGTTTGACGACTAGGTGAACAGTTCAGCCTGTAGTCAGAACAGCAAGCTGCTCAATGAAATCCTGAAAGATGAGCTAGGATTCCAGGGTTTCGTCATGACCGACTGGCTTGGGCAATATGGCGGAGTCTCGTCTGCCCTGGCTGGTCTGGATATGGCCATGCCCGGCGACGGTGCTATACCGCTTTTTGGTGATGCTTACTGGGGCTCTGAGCTCTCACGCTCTATTCTGAATGGCTCAGTCCCGGTTTCGCGTCTGAACGACATGGTAAGCCCTAATGACACCGTCTGTTGGTTTCGGATGCTGACGATCATAGGTCACCAGAATCGTGGCGACATGGTACAAGATGGGCCAGGATGGAGACTATCCGCTGCCCAACTTTTCAAGCAACACACAAGATGCGACTGGGCCTTTGTACCCAGGGGCTCTTTTCTCTCCATCTGGCGTTGTCAATCAGTATGTCAACGTGCAGGCAGATCACAACATCACTGCGAGAGCAATCGCGAGAGATGCCATCACTTTGCTAAAGAATGATGACGATATTCTTCCTTTGAAGACGAATGACTCGCTGAAGGTTTTTGGAACGGATGCCGGGGGTAATGAGGACGGTCTCAACTCCTGCAGCGATCAAGGGTGCGACAAAGGGGTGTTGACCATGGGCTGGGGCAGTGACACGTCCAGGCTTCCGTATTTAGTCACACCACAGGAAGCCATTGCCAACATCTCGTCCAACGCTGACTTCTATATCACCGATGATTTCCCCTCTGACGTTTCGGTAAGCTCCGACGACATCGCCGTGGTGTTCATCAACGCCGATTCAGGGGAGAACTATATCACCGTCGAAGGCAATCCGGGTGACAGAACCTCGGCCGGGCTGAATGCATGGCACAACGGCGACGACCTCGTCAAAGATGCAGCGGCAAAGTTCTCCAAAGTCGTTGTGGTCATCCACACCGTGGGCCCTATTCTGATGGAGGAATGGATCGATTTGCCGTCGGTAAAGGCCGTGCTTGTGGCGCATCTGCCCGGGCAGGAGGCCGGCTGGTCCTTGACGGACATCCTCTTCGGTGACTACAGCCCCAGTGGCCATCTCCCGTACACGATCCCAAGCAGCGAATCGGACTATCCGTCCAGCGTGAGTCTGCGCTCGCAGCTCCTCGGCCAGATCCAGGACACCTACACCGAGGGCCTGTACATCGACTACCGCCACTTCCTGAACGCCAATATCACCCCGCGATATCCCTTCGGCCACGGGCTGTCCTACACCACGTTCAACTTCTCGCAACCCACCGTGTCCGCCGTCACCGCAGTCGACAGCGCCTACCCGCCGGCTCGCCCATCCAAAGGCGCAACCCCAACCTACCCCACCACAATCCCCAGCCCGTCGGAAGTAGCCTGGCCCGAGAACTTCAACCGCATCTGGCGCTACCTCTACCCATACCTCGACGACCCCGCCGGCGCCGCAAAGAACTCGAGCAAAACATACCCCTACCCAACAGGGTACACGACAGATCCCAAGCCGGCCCCACGCGCCGGCGGCGCAGAAGGAGGCAACCCGGCCCTCTATGACGTTGCAATCACCGTCAGCGTCAAAGCCACAAACACCGGCAAACGGCCGGGCCGGGCGGTCGCGCAACTCTACGTCCAACTACCCGATACACTGGGCGTCGAGACGCCCTCCCGACAGCTGCGGCAATTCGAGAAGACGCAGATCCTGGCCCCCGGGGCGAGCGAGACCTTGACCATGGAGGTCACGCGCAAGGATATCAGTGTCTGGGACGTGGTGGTGCAGGACTGGAAGGCGCCTGTCCAGGGCGAGGGAGTTAAAATCTGGCTTGGGGAGAGCGTTTTGGATATGCGGGCTGTCTGTGAGGTTGGAGGGGCTTGCACAACTATATAATCTTCGATTGCTGTATATACCTTGACCTGGGGATATTATTTTTGTTGGAAACTGCATAAATCTGCATAAGGTGATGTGTAGTTGCTGACTAATGCACAACCGATAACTAGTTAACTAACTACTTCGCCGCTCTTCCGCATATAACTGTTGCTTCACCTTCTCCTCACTATTCAATCTTCAGAAACTACAGAGTATTACCGGTCGATGCATCTCGACCGAGTCTATACCAGGGCTGACAACTTATTCTGAAATGTAATATACGTCTATATCCTGAAGGATACCAACCCAAAATGCAGGGCTTCAGTGAGTACCTCCCCCACCATCATCACCGCGGGGCATAACTGACAATCATCACAGACATGGGACGGTCCGTCGCCTCCCCTCCCCTCCCCTCCCTAGCCACCCGATTCTCCGCGAACTGACAAACTGACAACACACAGCTACGTCCCACCCGACCAAGAAGGCCTCACAACCGGCAACAAACTAGCGGGCAAGCACCCGCTCGGGGCGCGGGCGCGCCACCTCCGCACAAGCGGCGCGCTGGTCGTGCGGTTCGAGATGCCCTTCGCGGTGTGGTGCACGACATGCAAGCCGCACGAGACGCTCATCGGGCAGGGGGTGCGCTTCAATGCGGAGAAGAAAAAGGTCGGGAATTACTACTCGACGCCGATCTACAGTTTTCGGATGAAGCATGGGGCCTGCGGGGGGTGGATTGAGATTCGGACGGATCCGGCGAATACGGCGTATGTTGTTGTGGAGGGGGGCAGGAAACGGGATACGGG